TTTTTTAGTTCGGTTTTTTGATAAACTATTTTAGAGTGCTTACAATTTCTAATATTTTGGAATATTTTCAGAATAAGGCCTCCTACATGGCTTTATTTAAGCACCCTTCCCTAAATGTTACAAACTTTTACACTTTCACATTGATTTTTTTTCACTCGTCATTCTCATATAGCAGTTCTTCAGTCCACTTTCGGAGGCACCCCCGCCACATTTCCTTCTGACTTGTCCATTTCTTTAGCTTTCCGTGCGCTTCTCCCATCAGTTCGCACACATTTTTGTTTGTGCTGGCAGTTGTTTTTGTTGAATTACATGCACACATACACAGGGACAAATATTTATTTAAAACTTATGCCCGAGGCCTTTCATTACTGTGCAACGGTAAAAGATATATATTTCACTCTCCTGTGCTCGGACCGCCGCCATGCTGCTCTCCCTTGCGCCCATGGCTTTCTCCTCTCGCCATTTTGTGTCGGTGCTTCATAGTTCTTGCTTTCCTCTTTTTTGCACTGTGCAAATGTGCGGAATGTTGCTTTGTGTTCATCATTCGCTTTCTTCGCCCGCCCCGTCCTCCCTTCTTTAGAATCCTCTTTTACCGCGTTCTGGATTTTTGGTCCATGGCTATTAAGCGGAATGTCTCAATGCAGGGCGAATAGGGGGTGGTCGTCGCCTACTTAATGCACTTGTAACCGGCTCCTGTTTCGGATCCTTTTGGCCGCCGCCGCACTCCTAAGCCGGGCCGTGCAGCGGAGTTTTAATTAGTCGCCGTTCCAGACTTACACTCAAGTCTCCGCCACTCCTTTGTATTGTTTGTGTCCTTGCGTCTGGACCATTGTCTTGGTCCGCAACGAGCGAAATGCATTATTTTGTGCAACAAAATAGCCAAAGTCGTTGAAAATTTTATGGGATTTACCCGGTGAATTATTTTAAAGTAGAGTGCTTAAGAATGGCCCAGCTCCCATCACGATAAAAACTTCCAGGAGAGAAGTAAGAAGGACTAAAGTGGGTTCATGGCTAATAAAGGAAGTTCATTAGCAAAAATATGTACTGCAGTGATGTATTGATGGAAGCTATCATAAATGCTTTGAGGAAGTAATAAAATAATTGGCTTGATAATATTCAATAAATGTATATTCAATAAACCTAAAAACAAACTAAATTTCTTATTATAAATCAACAGATTTACAAACCCCTTACAGATAAAATTGTCAAATTTTTTGTATCTTAAATCACTTTACGCTATACAACACTGGAAGTTAATGAACTAAAAAACAGAGTTACCGTATTATTGCTCGGCTTGTGGAACTACTTCGTTTAGAATGGAAATACTTTAGCAACAGCTGTCATACAGGGCGTATGGATAATCTTAAAATAATCAATCGCAATTGTCTGTCCAAATATTTTAATTTAAATTAAATAAAAACTATCCCACCCACATAGATACGCAAGTCTAATGTATGCCCATTATAAATAAATAATGTTTTGACCATTCATTCATATCCAAACAGCCATTATAAATAAATCATGTTTTAAATATTCATGTTTCAGTCGGAACTCACCTGTCAACTTTGATGGCTCAGAATTTACATTAAATTTCGGTCGCTTTGGTAAAATGTTGTTAATTAGTTTCAATGGTATTGCTGTTTGTTTGTTTTGTGTTTGTTGTTGCGCGAGAATGTTTTTGGGCGCCAAAAGTACAGTCACCAACACAGAGGAAAAACTCGCGGGCTCCCACACGCACTTCTACCCTCACACACACGCACAGTGGCACGGAGAAAATGTTATTAGCTGTCGAAACTATTTCCCCTTGTCTCCTTGGCGCTTTCTCTTTCTGGCAGTACACCTTCCTCTCTCCGACGCTTTTCCTTTCTGTCTGGGATGTTGACTGCAGTTGGCGGCTTTTTGGATAACGGCAAATGCACTCGATCCGCTCTTAGCTCCGCAAATCGAACTCAAAGCGAGTGTGGGAAACGACGGGAAAGGATTTTTAATATTTAACTTAGATTTTCTGTCGGGAAACCGCTGTTTTTCGTCGAATTCGGTCGGCTGATTGATGGATGCTCAAAGCGAATGCACTCTGCACAAGAAACACACAACTTGACTCAGCGAAATTGCAGAAATAACTGAATTGAAATATCCCCCCGCCAAACACACCCACACCCACACACACACAGACGCACGCAGGCAAAGGGATAGAGAGCGAAAGAGAGGCAGAGCACCTGTAACAAGGAGAGTAGGCGCCTAGCTCGCTTAATTCGTAACAAAAATGTCTTACAATTTTCCTAAAACCCAAAATATAGCTAGGGAAGCGGTACAAGTGGATGCTTGAGTGCATTTTAATTGATTTTTTCTTTGCTTTTTGCGTCTGGACTTTCACTCAGAATCAATGCTTGCATCTCGCTCGGGCACACGCGGCGTATGCGTAACATTTTAGTTGCATTTCTGCAATCTCTTCGCCCCCTTGAGTGACTTTTCCACCCACTCCTGAGCGAACGAGCGAGTGAGTGAGTGAGTAGTGGGAGGGCGATCTCTTGTGGGTCACGGCATTAGTTGCTGTTCTTCATAATTTTAAGTTTTAATTAGCTTTTTGTTGCCGGTGAAATTTGACAGCAAACAAAAGTTGCTGCTGCATCAAATTTTTAATTAATTACATGTAAAAATGTTGAGGGGCGACTTTCGTTTTGGACAAACAATTAGCATTTCAGTGTCCCAAAATAATAAAAAGGAATGATGCCGAAAGAAGGAAAAGTTTTATGAAGTTCTGTGAGGGATAGCTTTCATTCTACGTTTGTTCAGCTACGAGGGGTTTGGATAGGTGGTATAGACAAACTTTTTAATATGAAAATTGCTCGTTTGGTGTCGAGAAAATTAAGTGGTTGGATTGGGGCCTGGGGAAATGCGCCCTTTTCGATTGATTTAGGGCTAAAAAGCAAGGTCTGGGTTTTGTAGCCTTGAGAGATTTTTTTAAACATCTTTCAAAACTAGAATACATTTCCTCCCCCAATAGGGTTACATAACTTTGATAAAACTCTGTATGTGTGTCTCAAGTAGCATATTTCATCACAAAACATAAGCAGCAATAAATTTGTATTAAAATTTAAGTATATTAATTTTGAAGAATAATATTTAAAGAAAAGTTTTAAGAAAGTTCAAAATATCTCTGAAATCTAGAAATTTTGCAGCAAAATACGAAATTTGAAATGCAAACCAATCCAATTAAAAAAAAAAACTTTAAAATACGCCATTTTTCGCTATTTTGACAAACAGCTTTATAACTTTTAAGTTTAAACCCAAACATTTTATTTGGTATATTATTTGTATAAAACCCAAACGCAAAAAAAAACACATTTGTAAAAAAAAAAAATAAATATGTTTATTTTAAAATGAATTTAAGCCAGAAATTTCATTTTTATGGAAAATTTGAGCCGAATTTGGCAATTTGGTATATTGTAAACTCTCGAAATTAAATATTAACCCAATCAAATGATAACCAATTTGTAAGTTGCTTCCTCATACGTTTATTAATGGGCCTGAAGGGCTTATTTGCTTTTAATAAATCTGTTTTGGTTAGTTACGGTATGTTAACTAATGGCCAGTTTGAAGTAAATAATATGATTCGTTGTGAGTAATAGTGGAAATTATTTAACGTAGTTTAAGGTATTTTATTGGGTCATTACAAAGAATATTATGCAGATTTTTTTTATGATATTATGTAAATGAATGTTTAAAGAATTTTGCGGATTTTTCCGTAATCTACTATCCTATGTAACCTGTTTAAAATAATAATCTGCCATAAAACCAATTTTTGGAAAAAACGAAAGTAAATGTTTAAAGCGAAGTGAGCCAAAGGGGCAAAAATGGTGACCCTTGACACTCGCCGCCAAACTCAATCAACCCAAGCTTACGAGAAACAGGGTGCCTGGAAATCTGTGCACCACCGGACTTGAGCATGCGCACACCGCACTCACGGCGAAAGAACTCACTCAATCGGAGCGCAATGCAATAATGCAACACCTACGCGGCACTGAAGCACACCTGTGCAGCCTGATGTAATACGGCAGGCGCCGCAGAGAACGGGGCAGAAAACGGAGGGGGCAGAGGGACCGAGAGAAGGAAGGAACAGCTGCATGGAGACCTGAAATGTGGACAGGGCTATTGTGCGGAGTCCGCCATTGTTGGCCAGTGTAATGACACACACCTGCACAAATGAGTGCAATGCGAGGAAACTGTTTAAAATATTTATGAATGAATTTTAGTATACCAGCGCTCTGAAGAAAAGTTCCTTTCAAATGTAACTAAAATAAGACAATAAATGTGGTTCTTAAGTTTATTGTTTTTATCATGATATAATAGTAAAATAGCTATGGAATTGGCCACCGAAGCATGGCCAAGGGTAAACACCTAGTCTGAAAGTCCTTCACAATGAACTTCTGGCCAAGAGGCCAACTAATCACAGTGAAAAACCCAATATAATAGCCGAAAATATTACGGTCGACCTCATCCGAAGGGCGTTGATGAGCATTGACCACTGGGGCTGGAGCAGGCAATGAACCTTAAAGAGTGGAAACCACCATCGAAGTCCGCACATGACTGACCCGCTTAGTCAACATGTTTTAAGGTTAATGACTGTGTTTACACAAAGCAATTGGGAACCCCTGCCCAAAAAATCAGTTAACTAATTTAAATAGATAGCAAAATGGTCATGGGAATATGCTGGTGAGTAACTCCATCGGGCACTGCAAAAAGCTGTTATTGTTTCATATTTATTTTGTTGAGGGCCGGCCTGCCGAAAGGGTTCGATATACGTTTATTTGGGATTTCGAAAAATTGCGTATACGCCGCCTGGGTCACGCACGAACGAGCAAACCCAGTGGCGGCTGATGGGCGCCCGATTAAGCTCCATTAAAAAAACGTTTTATGCTTTTTAAATGACCAACACTGGGTGGCTAACTCTATAAAAACAGTTAGCAGCGAAATTTCGGCATTCAGTCCACATTCGAGGATTATCCACGACTAACAGGCCGCACAACCATGTCAGCGAAACAGACAAGTAGTTACCTCCGGCTGGCTTTGATTTTAGCCGTAACGGTTTTGAGGTGCGCCGAGAGCCAGTACTACGGATACCCTTACTACGGCGTGGGGACGGGGGCGGGTGCGGGGGCAGGAGCCGGCTCTGCGTACGGCAATGTGTACGGCAACGGCATTTACGGCTATCCCAGTTACGGAGGCTATCCGTACTACTCGTACCCCAGCTACAACCCCTACTCGATGTACGGCGGGTACGGGCAGTACGGGGGCTACCCCTACAGCGGATACCCCTACGGAGGCAGTGGCATCAGTAAGTACCGACACTCATAGTTTCCGCCACAAGAGTTCCTCAGTACCTGTCATCTAATAGTGTTTTGGACTTGTTTCCTTCTCTAGACACGGCCTACGCCAGCAGCAGCGGAGGCTTCGCCACGGCCAGTGCGGGCGGAAATGGATACTACGGCTAATCCTCGCCAGCAGTGATATTCCCCACTTAAGCTAGTTGAACTATACATAAGAATTAGTTAAGAACTCCTACTAATTTAGTGTGCCAGCACAAGAAAATAAAGAATATTGTAAATACTGTACCTACACTTTTTTAATTAAAACGTTTTTTGTTAAAAAAAAAAAAGTAGTTCTGACGAAAGTGGGTAAATAGAATAATTTACACAATGTCATAAATATAGCATTGATCATAAATTGACTCTACCTCTAATCTTAACTATTGCGAAATTGAACTTCGTCACCGGTCCCACCAGTTGGTGTTTCAAAATATTAAAAATAGGTCGGAAAATTTTGAAAAAAATGTGAAAAACCTTTGACTACCTATGGCTCCACATTCACAGTGACTAGTTTATAAAGCAACAAAATAGACACTAAGAAATAAAAGCCCTTGCAAGTCGAAATTTATCATTCATAATTGCTCCTCTAAATCAATTAAAGTCAATTCTACATGATCCGCATATAACATTTCCCCAAGAGCATCCAAAAAAGTCAATTATTTGAGAACATTGAGAGAATAATCCATTCTCTTACCTCATACATTCAAGAAACCCATCCACTGCAATAGGACTAGATCAGATTCTATTAAGTAAAACGAAACTTCGCCCAGGAAAATTTAATTTTTCCATATTATTTTGAGGAATATATGTTCCTAGAATCGGTCCTTTTTTTTAGTTTCTCATCAAGATAATGTAAAAATTTTCCCCAAAATTTACCAATAATCTGCCTTATATATACAAAAAATAGTGACTAGTGACAGTGACTAGGCTGAGAAAAATTTTCAAAAATCTTCATAAAAACATCCTCGACGCTTGTATGAGCGCTCCCGGCCATTTCATAGCCTCCAAGTAATGGGACGAAACGATTATGTCCCTTTTCTGGTGGACTAAGACATAGGTAACATAAAACAAGAAAGCAAAGCTAACTTCGGGCGGAGCCGAAGTTGATATACCCTTGCAGTTAAAACCGGATATATATCGCAAACATCGGATATAGTTGGCCGATCCTTATGGGAATAGGAATATATATTCCAATTTATTACAATACAAAATCTAAAAAAAGTCCCAAACTTCTATCTTCAAAAATACGAAAGTTGATATTTCTACCAAATACCATTTCCGATCGTTCAGTTATATGGCAGCTATAGGATATAGTCGGCCGATCCTAATGAAATTTGGTAGGTCGGATCAACTGACCAAATATATAATCTGTACCAAGTTCCTTTCTATCTTCAAAAACACGAAAGTTGGGTCATTTCCGATCAATCAGTTATATGGCAGCTATAGAATATAGTCGGCCGATCCTTATGAAATTTGGCATGTCGTAATGTTTTGCCAAAAATAGCTCTCATGTCAAATTTGAACTTTCTAACTGAATGTCTCTAACTTTAAAAACACCAAAGTTATACCATTTCCGATCAATCAGTTATATGGCAGCTATAGGATATAGTCGGCCGATCCGGGCCGTTCCGACTTATATACTGCGTGCAAAGGATAGAAGGGTGTGTGCAAAGTTTCAAGACGATAGCTTTAAAACTGAGAGACTAGTTTGCGTAGAAACAGACAGACGGACAGACAGACGGACAGACAGACGGACAGACGGACAGACGGACATGCTCATATCAACTCAGGAGGTGATCCTGATCAAGAATATATATACTTTATAGGGTCTGAGATGTCTCCTTCACTGCGTTGCACACTTTTGACCAAAATTATAATACCCTCTGCAAGGGTATAAAGATAATCAGGTGTGTAGTGTACGGAGTGAATAGCTTCCCCGCGAAAACTATTTCACGACAAAACAAATTCGCCTGCGGATGGCCCCCTTGGATGGACAGCAGTAAAAAGCCCCGATACGTTACAGGAATATCACTATTTACAGATTCTTTATTGTATTATGTTAAACATGCAATTATCAAGTATACATACTATCAAGTAAGCAATAAAGTATGTGATTGCTTACTTCAAATTGACGTTCCCAGTCAAAAGTTTTATATACTGTGATAAATCCTTGACATTCAACATAGAATGTATCATTATTTTTCCCAAGTTTTTTTCAATTCGACAATCTTCTTGTTTCATGAAAACATTATCATCTCCACATTCCATGAACTGATCAAAATCTTTTTCAGACTTCACTAATTGACATAAATAATTTTTAAATTGTTCAAATGATATGTATCGCATATTGGAACCATTTTGGCTTATTGGTCGGTGATATCTACATCGAACATCCAACGACGTGGAGCTAGCGACTTGATCTGAGTGTATTCGATATTTTCTTCAATCAAAGTTGGTTCGTTGTTTGTGGTTATTATTAAGGTGCTATCAAATAATGCATCCTGAATAAGCTTTGTTAGTTTCGGCATTTGCCGAGCACACATTTAATCCTAAAGAATATTCGATTTGCTTTTATGTCTCCAACAATGTTGAACAAGTTTAAAAAATTGGAATGCCACAATACAGGCACCTTTAGCCAAATTTTTAATGAATTTACTTATTTAAGCACTTACTTATTTAAGTAAATTCATTAAAAATTTGGCTAAAGGTGCATGTATTGTGGCATTCCAATTTTCTAAACTTGTTCAACATGGTTGGAGACATAAAAGCAAATCGAATATTTTTTAGGATTAAATGTGCGCTGGATCTACGACGTGGCCACAAATGATTAAGACACATAAAAGCACTGTACAATAACTGAAACGACACAAAATAAAAGGTTTTTTTTACTTCAAAGAAAAACAAGAAAGGAAAGCTAACTTCGTGCGTATCCGAAGTTAATATACCCTTGCAGTAAAGATCAGATATATATATCAAAAATCGGATATAGTTGGCCGATACTCATACGAATTTTATTATAAAAAGAATAAAAATTTCTTAGAATAAAAAATTAAAAAAAGTCCCATTCAGTTATTTGGCAGCTATAATATATAGTATAATTAATATATACGATCATTTTTAAGGCTGATCAGTTGACTTTAAGTACAACCCATAGAAAAGATAATCCCTCTAACTTAGGAAATACCAAAGTTATGGCATTTCCGATCGATGACTTATAGACACATGGACAGACAGACGGGGAGACGGACATGCTACACTCAGGAGTAGGTCCTGATCAAGAATATGGGGGTCGGATTTGTGTCATTTACTGCGTTGGACTTTTGACCAGAATTATAATACCCTCTGCAAGGATATAAAATAATATGTACTATATATATAAATAAATAAAAAGAGTTATAAAAATAAAATGGTATACTATTTGTTACTTCCTTTTCCTCCTTATTAACTTACCTCCATTTCTGAGTTTACTGCCAAAGAGCTGGATGCTAGCAAATGGCACACCTGATTTTCATTGAGGCAAAGAAACTCACGACTGGATAGTATTATCAAAGTTGATTTGGATATGCGGCTAGACATCAGTTCGTTCATCTCAACAAGTTCGTACGCGTGACGCCCTTCATACATTATATTAAATGCTGAAAACTTGGTATAGATAGGACTATTTATAATGTTCCAGAGATGCTCAAGTAGCTCAGTTATTTCTAAGTATGACGCAGCTCTGAGAACTTCGGGCATATTAAGCATGGGTATTTTTCCCCTTTCCGAAATCATCCATTGATAAATGTTACTGAAGCCACTTGGAGACAATTGATGTGTGGAAATATTCAAAATATTTTTTTCCAAATTATTAAACATTCGTTTTGCGTAAAGTTTTAATATGATGGAGTGGCACATAAAAGTATGATCCCTTATATTTATTATAGTGTCAGTGTGTTTATTGGCTTGAATGTTTTTTACCACAACAGTGGCTGGTGGAACTTTGTGCGTCAGTAAAATAATGTTTTCTTCTTTGTTTCGTTTTATATCACCTAAACTTTTTTCCACCTTAGAAAGTAACTTACACTCCTCTTCGAATTTTGAATAAGTCCTTTAGAGAAAAAATTATAAGAATTTAATATCACATTAAATGATTAGTTCGATTACTTCATAACTTACATGCGAAAGTGTCCTGGCCGTGGGTCATTGAAGATTGTATTTAAATATGGTCGACTTTTGTGCATTTTGCTGATGTTTAATATATATATGTATGTATAACTTTGTTACGATGATTGTTTGAATCAGAAATTGTTTGAATTGGTTGCTTTGTTATTACCTAACATATTTTTACACACACTAAACCAAAAATTTCAGGGACTGTTAACCTTTTGATATGATGACATCCATGATCAAATTAATATAATAATGTATAATTGTATCATGATGACATCTATAAAATTTTTAGTGTAATTGGTTTTGGTCTCCTTTAAAATTTGTTTTAAATTGGTTTTCTTAAAATTGGAAAATCTCCTTAAAATTGGTTTATGTTTGCCCAAAGACCTAAAATTAATACAATTAAAAAAAACAAGAAAGCGAAGCATATTTGTGGCGGTGCCAGGTTTATATATCCTTACAAATCGAACATATATCGCTAATATTAGATATAGTTGGCCGACTCTTTTGAGAATATCATAATAAAACTAATTTATAAAAATACGAAATATAAAAAAAAAGTCACAAGGTTCTAAATTTAAAAATAATAAAGCTGGTATTTTTACCAAATACCATTTCCGATCGTTCATCTATAAGGTTTAGTCCGCCGATCCTTATAAAATTTGTTACGTATAGGTATATTTTTGCCTATGTATAGGTATAGTATATTACTTGCAAGCACTGCAAACAAAAAATAAAAACACGTGTAATAGCCATGCAAAAGTTGGAGTGCACAACAAAAATTGAAATTTTATTGAAGCAAGAAATTTTTTTGCAATATTTGCATAGGTGTAAACATTTGTGCAAACTTTTGCTTCAAACTATTTTCAACTTGCTGCAAATCGTGTGTACCTAGCTTAAGAAGAATTGAACTAAAATGGAAATAATGGATGGAAATAAAAAGTATTGTTTCACAATCTAGGACCGTTTTTTATTTTTACTTTTTGGTCTTTTTATTTGCTTCTTAAATGCTTTTATTTTCCTTCTCATAGCCCAAGTACCAAATTTTTCATTTATTACAAATTTTAACTCTACAAAATTTACTTAATAGGTAAAGATTTCTTAAATTGCCCGCCTTATTGGCAGCACTGTCTGAATTGAGTTTGCCAACACTGGACGCATGAGCTGCCACACTAATTATGTGATAAACAGCTGATAGTGCCTTCGCCGGTAAAAAGCATTGTAATAAAACTATTACCTAAATATAAGCCATGATAAAGCTGTCCGTGGTGTGCCGAGTTGGCGGCTCCAGTCGAACTGCAACCTTTGCCACAAAACCTGCAGCCAAATTAGCACCTAAAAAAATAGAAGCACTCTCCAAAAAGCCTCGCAATGCGTTGATATCCTGCAAGAGAAACCAATTCAATTTATTTCAACACGAGAATGCAGACGCGAAATTTGGAACTCTTCCATTGGCTTCCAAGGGTTGGTTGCATCAAAAGTCCAAGGGCGACTATTTCGTCCTCAATGCGAGCATCAGCGGCGATGAACTTCAGCAGGACCTGCAGAAAAAGGGACAGCTGGAAAACGCAAACATGGAACTGCACCCACAACTCCTGGAGAACCTGCGGGCTGAGTTGGGCATTAAACAGCTAACCCTGATCCAAGCAAAGGCCATGCCCATAGTCCACGACAACTGTCACACGCTTATTGCGGCGGAAACGGGGTGCGGCAAGACCATTGCATACCTCCTTCCCATCCTGAATAGGTTGCTCGAAAGCCAGCCTCCAGAAAGGAAGTTGAACAGTCCCAGGACTCTCATCCTGACTCCTGGCCGGGAACTGGCCATGCAAATTGCCAATGTCGCTGAACGGCTAGTCGAAGGAACAGACCTGAAGGTGAAATACCTGTTGGGAGGAAACACAAAACAGATGATGATGAGCCCGCAGTTTGAAGAGGTAGATGTCCTGGTTGCCACTCTGGGAGCCCTAAGCAAGTTAGTCACCACTGGAATCTACCGGATGGAGCATGTGCGTCATCTGGTCCTGGACGAAGCAGACACTCTCCTAGACGACACCTTTACGGACAAGCTCACCTATTTCCTGAAGCGTTTCCCCGTAGGTATTTGCCTTTAAAACGTAAAAAGTATTATATTAATTATTTTTCCAACAGTTTCACCTGGACCAACAATCCAATGCTCGTACCCAACTCATTCTGGCCTCTGCCACAATGCCGTGCAACACCAAAGAAGTCCTGCAAAACGTCGTCGACGTTGAAACAATTCATGAGGTTGTGAGCCCTCTTCTGCACCGCTTACTACCGCACGTGACGCAAAAGTTCTTACGGTTAACCAAGGCGGACCGGCCGGCCACCCTCCTGACCCTCGTGAAACAGGAATTAGCCAAGCGCCGACCTCTAATAGTGTTTAGCAACAAATCCGCCACCAGCGACTATGTATCCATCTTCCTGAACAACAGCGGAGTCAACTGCCTAAACTTGAATGGCGATATGCTGATGAAGATCCGCCTTGGCCGATTCGAACAGTTCCAAAACGGTCACTGCGACGTGCTATCCACCACCGACGTGGGCAGTCGTGGTCTGGACACTACCAGAGCAAGACATGTTATCAATTTTGACTTTCCTCTCCATGTGTCTGACTATATACACCGCTGTGGACGGATTGGAAGAGTGGGAACACCCGACAATTCTCTGGTGACCAACTTGATTTCCTCCCGCCGCGAAATCGACGTCGTCCAGCGGATAGAGCACGCGGCTCGCACCGGAGGGTTACTGCCCAACGTAAATGCAAATATCCGAAACATCATTAACAAACAGATTATTGCTGCAATGACGGCAGCCGGAGTGCCTCCTCCAGTTATGGGAACAGGTAACAGCATCCAAACCCAAGAGGAAGCTTTTTAGATGTATACTCGAGGAACTTGTGCTGCAATCGCTGTTATCCTCAACATCTGCAATCTACCATAATTTTTGGCATCAGATGATGACAGATTTCAGACAGATGACAGATTTTAATGGTGGCCTAGATTAGTCTTAAGCACAAACACAAATGATCAATTTTTGTAAATAAAATTTTAATATATTGTTACAGATTTACTCACTGTGTTGTTTTTTAATGTTTTGTTTTTAATAAATTAGGTTTCTTGAGATTGAGAACATTTTTTTTGAAACTTTTTTAAATTTTAGAATAATTTTAGGAAACTCCAAGATTTAAAGTTTAGATCAAAAAAATTGAACGAAAATTAGGAAACAAAATACAAATTATCTTAAAATTTAAATCTTAAATTAAAAAACAATAAAGCAAAGCTTACTTCGGGCGGAGCCGAAGTTGATATACCCTTGCAGTTAAAACCGGATATATATCGCAAACATCGGATATAGTTGGCCGATCCTTATGATTACATCATAATAAAACCAATTTATTACAATAAAAAATCTAAAAAAAAGTTCCAAGCTTCTATCTTCAAAAATACGAAAGTTGATATTTCTACCAAGTACCATTTACGATCGTTCAGTTATATGGCAGCTATAGGATATAGTCGGCCGATCCTTATGAAATTTGGTAGGTTGGATCACTAACCATACAGCATATAGACAACCCATTTCATACAACGAAAATGGACGCGAAAATTTCTTGCGACAGGCCCCAGAGCGGATTTCTTACGCTCTCTTACGCTCATCGTTCGTTCATCTTACGCTCATTCTCGCAATAAATGTTTTCTGTTTCTCAGTCTCTAAACGGAGCGCGATGAAGAAGGTTGGCCTGCGCTTCGGTTGATCTTTGTATGTATGCGTGTCACACATTCACATACATGGGTGTATGTGTGCGTGCGATTTCGTTTCGAAGCCAGCGCACAAAATTTTGATTTTTCTTACTTTTAAGGCTTGCTACCCTAACAAAATTCGGGTATTCGTTATTTGATGAAATGACGAAAGAAATTATATTATTTTTTGTATTATATTTTTTATTATTTCAGCATACATTTTTAATTTATTTAGGAATAAGATTAAGTGTTAGTAGTAAAATGTTTTCTGTATATATATTTTTACGAATCATTAAAAATCAATATACTGAGAAAGTGTCAGAGTATATTTCGGTCGGAGTCACTTAAAGCGCCGTTTGCTTTTAAGTTTTTGTTGTTCTGCAAGAGGCTTGTGCATGCCTACTCTAACGATGGAATGATTTTTAGGGAGGGTGAAGACGGGTGAAGAATTAAATTACTTTTTAAAGTTATTATATATAAGGAAATATATATAAGGAAATTATTAAATTAACGACAATAATTTAATTAAATCTCACAATAACCCAAAATAATAACAAGTGCCTGAAAAATTGTAAACAAAAAAGGTAAACAAGTCCATCAGCTGTTTTCGTGTCTTCACCCTCCCCTAAAAATCATTCCATCGTTAGAGTAGGCATGCACAAGCCTCTTGCAGAACAACAAAAACTTAAAAGCAAACGGCGCTTTAAGTGACTCCGACCGAAATATACTCTGACACTTTCTCAGTATATTGATTTTTAATGATTCGTAAAAATATATATACAGAAAACATTTTACTACTAACACTTAATCTTATTCCTAAATAAATTAAAAATGTATGCTGAAATAATAAAAAAATATAATACAAAAATAATATAATTTCTTTCGTCATTTCATCAAATAACGAATACCCGAATTTTGTTAGGGTAGCAAGCCTTAAAAGTAAGAAAAATCAAAATTTTGTGCGCTGGCTTCGAAACGAAATCGCACGCACACATACACCCATGTATGTGAATGTGTGACACGCATACATACAAAGATCAACCGAAGCGCAGGCCAACCTTCTTCATCGCGCTCCGTTTAGAGACTGAGAAACAGAAAACATTTAATGCGAGAATGAGCGTAAGATGAACGAACGATGAGCGTAAGAGAGCGTAAGAAATCCGCTCTGGGGCCTGCTGGGGCCTGTAGCAAGAAATTTTCGCGTCCATTTTCGTTGTATGAAATGGGTTGTCTATATGCTGTATGGTTAGTGGTTGGATCAACTGGCCAAAAATAGAATCTGTATTAAGTTTCAGCTTTCTATCTTCAAAAACACGAAAGTTGGGTCATTTCCGATCGTTCAGTCACATGGCACCTATAAGATATAGTCGGCCTTTTGAAATTTGGCATGTCGTAATGGTTTGCCAAAAATAGCTCTCGTGTCAAATTTAAACTCTCTAACTCTAAAAACACCAAAGTTATACCTTTTCCGATCAATCAGTTATATGGCAGCTATAGGATATAGTCGGCCGATCCGGACCGTTCCGACTTATATACTGCGTGCAAAGGAAAGAAGGGTGTGTGCAAAGTTTCAAGTCGATAGCTTCAAAACTGAGAGACTAGTTCGCGTAGAAACAGACAGACGGACAGACGGACAGACGGACATACTCATATCAACTCAGGAGGTGATCCTGATCAAGAATATATATACTTTATAGGGTCGGAGATGTCTCTTTCACTGCGTTGCACACTTTTGGACAAAATTATAATACCCTCTGCAAGGGTATAATAATAGGAGCTTACGAAAAGAGGCTGCATCTATATTATCTTTATGTATAAATATCCATATTTCTTTTTCAAAATTCTTGCTTTCAAAAATGCCTTCCTGCCCAAAAATTTTCTAACCCTGCTGGTACTTTCCTGTTCCTAATTTTTTTGCAATAAAAATGTTGTAGTACAAAGTCATCAAAACGTCGATACCCAAGTCCAAAAAATGGGAACACCTCGAAAATTTCTAAGTCGGAATTTCTGAAAATTTTATATTTTAGAACGGCAAGACCACGATGAAGGTTGAGTCCTTACAGAAATAGTCAAATCCGTCAATAATTAAATCCTCACAAAGGAGGCTATTTCTAGGATTTCACAAATTTTGGATAAATTTTGCGTAACTTTGAAAAAAATTTAAAAAAAAAAAATAACTTTACTTTTGGGACCTTTTCATTATTTCGTACTCTTATACGCTAATTTGATGTAAATTTTAAGTTTTTTGAGAGGGATTCCCCGCAAAAACTACCAAAGTTGAGTGTGCCCATGTGTTTGCGGTAAAGAAATGCGGATACAGAGCTTTATCAGAGCTTTTATCTAAAACACCTGGTTACGCCGAATCACAATTCGTGCCCTGGCAACTCTGGGCCAACAGAAATATTTTGAATAGGCCAAACAAAAGCACTGACGTCGTGCTCTCGCCAAAATCCGCCGACGTTGCCTCAAACAATTACAAAGTAAGCGAAAAATCGATGCAACTTTTGAGATAGAACCGCACTAAAGGTAGATAAATACTGGCAAGACAGTACTGCCAAGAGTGATAAAAGGTCAATGAATGGCCTTAAAACAACACATTGCGTAATGGGGACAACCGCAGCACCAACAACGAAAGCAAAACAAGCAAAAATCCAAGTGAACGGGCTGCAATGAGTGCGCCTGTGTGAGTGTTTCAATATCTGGCAGTGTACGTGCATATTTGCAACTGACTAACAATTTTTCGGCCGAGTTACTTGGCCTCGAAACAACTTTTAACATGTTCAAATGTAGTGATTTGCTGGTAAAAATCGATCAGCGCCAGCTGCCAACTGGGCCTCTCAAGCCCATTGTCAGTCTTTTCGAAGAAAAAACAGATTATTGGGCACTTGGCGAACAATGCATAGATAGAAGAAGTATGCTTACGTTAAATAGTGCTTGCTCCACATTTCTGCATCCCTTCTCGCGCTCTCGTTCTCGCTTCTCTCCCTCGCTCACGCGCACCGCGGGAACAACGACAGTGGGGTGTTTCGCCCGCGGCCCCCTGGTCCAGCCCGCCTAAATTCATAAATCAAGGCAGTCAGTTAAAAAACAACAAGAAGTACTCACATACCTTTGCCCATCCCCTACGGCACTTCCCGATGCTTCTCGTTTCGGCAATAGGAAATTTCCGTAGCTACTGCACAGTGGGTAGTGCAAGCACCATGAAAGAAATGGCTATTGTTAAAAATAAAAATCACAACTGAACCAAAAGTATCTAATATTAGTAGATATCTTTTCAGATTATATGGCTTACTTATGAGACTTTAATTTTCATTTAAGAATAGCTAATACTTGGTTATATACTTTTTTTATTTTAACAGCTTAAACTTTAAACTAAGAATGAAATTACCCAGGTGTGAAAATTTTGCCTGCGTAAGCTCCACTTTCGACCATAGTGCGCTTCGCAGACAGAACAGCTGATGCTTGTCAAAATCGAAATTTCGCTGCCGCTCATGTGTACACACAAACCTAGTTGTATTGCTTGGAGCTTTAATATCGATAAGTTAACTAAACCTGAAAATTATATTAACTACGCCTCGGCAATCCAGTAAGGTTGGTAGCTCAGCATGTAAGGCCAGTAAACGAAATTACGCGACCCAGTGTCTCTTATCTGGGGGGTGTGTCGAGCGCTACACGTTCCGCCGCTTATCAAAATCACGCGACTCGCCGCGGACCCCCAATGAAGTCCCAAGGTTGCCTATAAATAAAAAATAATCAAATGTTTGTTTGTTTCGGTCTCCTCTCTCTCTGTTGGCTGTGCTGGCTTATCACTCTCAGATAGCAGCATTCTAGGTGGTACGAGCCGACGCCTTATATAACCAAGCACCACAGGAAACCGGCCCCCAAATCCCGTCGAGATGTTGCGAATGTTGGGCAATTCCCCCGCCAGCATGCAGCTGAGTGTGCTGAAAAAGTTAGTCATCCCAATCTGATATTCAGAGCATCCTTATAAATTGACACCTTTTGCAGTTGCACTCGGAGTCTGGGCTCTGTTCTGCCCCAGCTGAAAATCCACGACTTTCAGGTGGTCAACGAGCCGATCCTCACTTATCGCAAGAACTCAGCGGAGCGCAAGGACCTCCAGCGGGCACTGAAGGCCGCCGCTTCGAACTGCGAGGAAATTCCGATCGTCATCGGCGGCAAGGAGTTCAAAACGTCGGAGGTGCGCCACCAGGTGATGCCCCACGACCACCAGCACAGCATAGCTCGCTTCTACTACGCCGACAAGAAGCTCGTCGAGAAGGCCATTAAAACGGCGGTGGAAACGCAGCCCAAGTGGGACCGCGTACCAATCGAGGATCGCTTGAAGATCTGGGAGAAGGCAGCAGATCTGATGGCGACAACCTATCGCCAGGAACTGAATGCCGCCACCATGCTGGGACAGTCCAAGACAGTTATCCAAGCGGAGATTGATGCGGCAGCAGAACTGATTGACTTTATTCGGTGGGTGATTCTACAAGTTGTCTATTTTAGTTTTATAATTGATAAGAATCGTTCCCATTGAGGGGAATGAAATTATGAAAGTTTATAAAGTTTAATCCCTTTGCAGTATGAACGCATACTTCCTCAAGGAGGCCACCAAATACCAACCCATCAGCGAAGACCCAAAAGTTACCAAGAACTCGTTGCGCTACCGCGGTATTGACGGCTTTATTGCGGCCGTGAGCCCATTCAACTTCACAGCCATTGGCGGCAACCTGTCCTACACCCCAGCTCTGATGGTAAGTTAGCCCTAAGTCTGCCCGGAAATTTCCAATCAATTACCGATGCCTTGCGCAGGGTAACGGTGTGGTGTGGAAGCCCTCGGACACGGCCATGCTGTCCAACTGGCGCATTTTCAACATCATGCGGGAGGCGGGAGTACCCGACGGAGTCGTTAACTTTGTTCCCGCCGATGGACCTGTGTTTGGTGACACGATAACCGCCAGCCCCCATCTGGCCGGCATCAATTTCACTGGCTCGGTGCCGTGAGTATTGGTCGGAGTATTGATTTTGTTAGCCCCCTTGACCTCTCCTCCTTTCGGCAGAACCTTCAATCGCCTGTGGAAGCAGGTGGGAAACAACATTGACAAGTACGTTAACTTTCCACGATTGACGGGCGAGTGCGGAGGCAAGAATTTCCACTTCGTGCACAAGTCCGCCGACGTTGAGTCGGTGGTCACCTCCACCATCCGCTCGGCATTTGAGTACTGCGGACAGAAGTGTTCTGCCTGCTCCCGAATGTATGTGCCCGAATCACTGTGGCCAAAGGTTAGTATCTGCTGCAGATTATAAACTATAGAAGACTAATCTAATGCCCCTGACACGCGCAGATCAAGGAGGGCCTACAATGCGAGGCCGAGAAGCTGAAAATCGGCGACGTGCAAGACTTCAGCAGCTTCACATCTGCTGTGATTGACGACAAAGCATTTAAACGCATTACTAGCTACATTGAACACGCCAAGAAGTCCCCCAACCTGGAGATCCTCGCCGGCGGCACTTACTCGGACAGCAAGGGCTACTTCGTCAACCCGACCATAGTGCTCAGTAAGGATCCCAAGGACCGCATCATGACCGAAGAGATCTTTGGCCCCGTGCTGACGATCTACGTCTACAAGGAGTCCGATCTATTGGAAACAATGAAGCTGGTGCACACCTCCACCAAATTCGCTTTAACCGGAGCAGTATTCGGCCAGGACGAGTACGTGCAGCAGGATAGTTTATGAAGAATGTCTAATTTAAAGTCCACATTTCAGGGAATTCGTCAAGTGCGCTCTGCAGGAGTTTAAAATGGCCGCTGGAAACTTCTATATTAACGACAAGTCGACTGGATCAGTGGTGGGCCAGCAACCCTTCGGCGGTGGCCGCATGTCCGGCACCAACGACAAGGCCGGCGGCCCGCACTACATCCTGCGCTGGACCTCGCCGCAGTCCATCAAAGAGACGTTTGTGCCGCTGCGGGACGTCAACTACCCGTACATGAGCGAATAAGCTGGTCGGGCGCCACAACCAACAGAAAGACGACGGGGATGTAGGGGAGAAGCGATAACCGACAGGAATCTCATATAACTACTAACTAAATAAATACCTATATATGTATTTTGTTGAACTAATTTTAAATAGCATCCACACCTTCCTTGTTCTGAAAAATTGAAAGTTTTACACTCACTGTATAAGAATCTCAAGCAAAGCCATGATGCGAATGCCTCGAAATGTTGTAAATTGATATGCTGATTACCCTCGAAACCAGAACTCACCACACCATGGAATATATAAATCGAATAATACTGTGTAATGATACCAATTTTAAACGCATTGTGATTATTTAATTATATGATTTTAATTGTACGACTTGCCAATTCGAAAGCCATTGGCACTGTATCCTTTATTGGACCTTTTCAGTTGTAAAGCGCGTCTATATACACACCTATATATATATATGTATGTGAAAGCAAACACTTGACAATACATTTCGATTACTAAATGTGAAGAAGCATAAATAGTTAATGGAACTTAGTTACATACAAAGTAAGCATCAAATTCGGAATAATAAATCTTTAAATTGAAAAAAAATAGACCTTGTTACGGATAATGTTACATATCTATGAACCATTGCAAGTAAAGTGGTACTTCTGAAGATGGAATAGTATTATTATACCCCGACCTTTTCCTCCCTTTTCTCAATCTTTTCCCATAGTACCAGGTATAGATACTAATGGGCAATGTTATCCCCCGATTTGCTAGAAAAAAATAAGAGATATAGTCAGTTACGAAAAATACATATATTTCTTCCATTTCGCTTAAGTAGTACTAGCTTTTACATATTGAAGTTCGTACGTGATTTGAAAAGGGGAACTTATTCGAAAAGTTGGAAAAACATTAAACTGATAAAACTTATGTGCCATAATCGGACCCTTCATTCGGCTGATGACAAGCTTCGCGCAAAACGTTGCTTCATTTTTCAAAATAGTTTGAAGGCAGAAACTAGAGCCTTTCTAGTTCGCAAGGACCTTCCGAAAGGAAGCAATATTTTCAGGTCAACAAACAAACAAAGGGTCAGCAGCCGTTCTCACTTTGAGGCGTATTTGAAAATGATTGGTACTAGAAATCAAGTAAGGTAAAACGTAATCATAGTCACGGTTTTATTCACCGCCAGTTCGCGATGATTCAATTCATATTGAAACTTAGAACCTAGAGGGGTGGACCTTCGTTAAGTCAATCAAAAGATGGAAAGAGTTACGAGGTTGCGAAATTATTGCAAAAACAATTCCCAATCGGCGTTGGCGTTGGCATACACGTATAGAAACTATTCTACATAGTTAGGTTTGTGCTTAACAACTAATGCTTTCTGTTAGAATATGGGTTAATGCTTAGAGGCTGCGTATAAATCTAGTCAAACTTTATAGAATTGACGCCCGTGTCAATCTGGCCGCCCCGATAGCTGCCGCGCTTCTTCTTGGTCTTCTCGTGCTTGAAGGACTTTCCGCGCGTGTGCTTCAAATCTTTATTAGCCCGTTCGCCCCAGGAGCCGGCAGCGTTTTTCTGTCGTAGTTTACAAAATAATATAAACGATTAGTTCCGTGAAAGGACCGAGTCTAGGGTGTGTGTGTGTTTGCAGGTGGTGTGGTGGCTTACTCTAGGCTCTAATTGTCAAAGGTGATCTTTTTGTTTTGCTTGGGCGCCGACGAGTCGAAGGATTTGTTACCGAAACCGCCGCCTCGTGCGCCACCACGGCTACCGCCTCCCCGGCCGCCACCACCGCGTCCCCCAAAACCACCGCCGCCTCCGCGGGAACCACCACCGCGTCCTCCGAAGCCACCGCCGCCTCCTCCACGGCCGCCAAAGCCGCCTCCGCCGCCACCGCCTCCACGGCCACCAAAGCCGCCGCCGCCACCGCGTCCTCTCTGGTTGTTGTCAAAGCCGCCGAAGCTCTTGCGGTCTCCGATCTTCTTGAAGCCGCCACCGTCACCGCCGCCGTTGCCCTCGCCCTTGAACTTGTTGCTCTCCCAGTTGCTGCGATCCGGGCGTCCGGAGAAACCGGAACCGCCCCTTCCTCCGCGTCCGTTGTTGTGCTTCTTGAAGCCGCCGTCCTGAAAGGGGAGACGCCAAAGAGGGCAAACCACAAATTAGCAACGAATGAAAGTAAATTTTGCAACAAGGATGAGGAAAGTGCCACGAATGATTTGAGTTCCTTGCTAATTTGTGTGTCAGGCCCCCTTACAGCGAAGTATCCCCCCGCCCCCGCCCCCACCTTCATCCTCCACAAACACACACATTCCCACGCGACTCAAATGCATAAGCGGCACTCACCTTGGCCTCGAACGACATGTCCTTCACCCGGACATCCACTAGCACCTCCTCGGTGCGAACCCGCCGGAAGGGGGAGCGTCTTCCGCCACTTCCCCCTCCACTATTGTTCAGCTGTCCGTTGTTTTTAAAGTTGTTCTTGGGAGTCGAGTTAAAACCATTTCTCTGCAAGTTTCAAAAGTGCAATCACAGATGGGGAATCGGAAGATAGGACATAGACATATCCACATTGGATCGTAGCATCTAATTTGAGTTAAGCCCCCTGTCACCCTAGGGATCTCCCATTCATTACCTGTTGCTCGCCCGACTTGACAAAGTTGTTGTACTTCTTGTTGGGCGTTGCTTCCTCGGCATCGCCGCCGCTCAGCTTGCGCTTCTGGCCAGGCTTTGGTCCTCCATTAGCCACCGCCTTGGACTGCACTTCTCCCGACTCCTCGCTCGAGTCACTGTCGTCGCTGCTGCTGTCCTTCTTTTTGGGCGCAGGAGCAGGCTTCTTTGCTGGCGGCGCCTCATCCTCGGAGGAGTCCTCTGAAGAAGATTCATCCTTCTTGGCGGGAGCAGCTGTCTTTTTCACAGCTGGCTTCACAGCAGCTTGAGCCTCATCTTCACTAGAGTCTTCGCTGCTGGAGGAGGCCGCCTTAGCCGCAGCTTTGGGCGCAGCAGCTTTAGCCTTGGGCTTTGAATCTTCGGAGCTGTCGCTGTCCTCCGAAGAGTCCTCGGAGTCACCTGCTTTCTTAGCGGGAGCACCTTTAATAACTGGCTTAGCAGCTGGTTTTTTAGGTGCCTTATCTTCATCGGAGTCACTGTCCTCGCTGGAGGTCGCGGCCTTCTTTGCGACCGGCTTTGCTGGAGTCGCATCCTTCTTCGGTGCCTCATCTTCGGATGAACTGTCTTCGCTGGAAGATTCAGCTTTCTTTCCGGCAGCAGGCTTAGCGGGTGTAGCCTTGGCGGGAGCTGCCGCCTTCTTAGGAGCTTCGTCCTCTGAGGAACTGTCCTCACTGGAGCTCTTGACCTTCTTAGCGGGAGCAGCCTTAGCAGGGGTCTTCGCCGCTGGCTTCTTCTCTTCCTCGGAGTCACTGTCGTCGCTGCTAGACGAGGCTGCCTTTGCCGCAGGCTTTGCTGGGGCAGATTTCTTAGCAGCTGGCTCCTCATCGGAATCACTGTCGTCGCTGGAGGATGCTGCTTTTTTGGGAGCCGCAGCCTTGGCTGGAGCTGCGGGCTTGGCATCTTCCTCGGAACTGCTGTCTTCGCTGCTGGAAGCAGCCTTCTTCGCTACAGCTGGCTTGGCTGGGGACTTTGCTGCTGGTTTTTTCTCATCTTCGGAGCTGTCGCTATCGTCACTGGAGGAAGCGGCTTTCTTAGCGGGCGCAGCCTTTGCAGGAGTCGCCGTCTTTTTGGGCGCCTCGTCCTCGGAGTCGCTCTCCTCACTGGATGTGTCAGCCGCCTTTTTGGCGGGTGCTGCCTTAGAGGGTGCCTTTGCCGCGGGCTTCTTCTCCTCCTCGGAGTCGCTTTCCTCGCTACTGGAAGCGGCTGCGGCCTTTGTGGATTTTCCGTTCGTTATGGGAGCAGCTGGTGCCTTCTTGGTCGCTGCGGGGGCTTCATCTGAGTCCGAATCACTGTCGCTGCTGCTGCCAGCGGCCGCCTTGATGGCAGGGATTTTCGTGGCGCTTTTGGTTTGGTAGAACTGAAGGATTTCACTCAGTTTCGGCGTGTTCTTGGAGACAGTGGCCTGCGGGGGAAAAGTGATAGTGGTTAGTGAACAACACGTGGTCTGGCAGTTATTCGAGGAAAGCACCAACTGAGCGACCAAATCGCACTTTCTACGAACTGCTGTTTGCTGGGCGTTGCGGATACGGCTATCCATACTGCCGCATGTGGCTGGTGCATTTTAATAGCTTATTGCACTTGCCGCAATGCAGCCAACTTACCGCTTTCGTCTTCTGCTGGAAAACCTTTGCCAGGTTTTTGTCCTTCGACTGCAAGTACTCGTGCACGATTGCATCCGTTATTTTCAATAAGTCCGTCATGTTTCTTTCACTTATTTCGCTATATTTCGGAGCTGAAATCAATTCCTAGCCGCACGCTGCCCTCACACGAAAAAGAATTCTTATACACGTGTTTGCTGCTCAGGGCAACCCTGTCAATGAACGGTCACGTTACCCAACACTGATACAGTGGCTGCTCATTAAGCGAAAACATACAAATGGACAACATGGAAAAATAAAGGACAACGTAAACAAAAGAACATACATGTACGGCCAAATTGGGCCAATAAAAAATATTTGATCAGTAGCGGTGAATTCTGAGAGTCATATTTATACTGATTTTTTTCACTGTAAAAACATTTATTAACATGTGTTGTGCCGTTTTTTGTTTGATATCACTTACTTTTTGGCAAATTTGGCAAAACAAGCGACTGCCACACTGAAGAGTATTTTTGTTTGTTATTCAATTGAGTTACTTGCAACACAAAACCTCGGCAAAAAATCAGGCGGATAATCCAGTCCGCCGCGATTTGCATAGAAAATCCATCTATCATGGCGGAGAAGTCGGTTCCTGAGATCCTCCAGTTGAACGACGACTGCCTAGAGGAGATCTTCGACCGGCTGCAGGACCTCCACTCGGAAGTGGCCTTTTCCCAGACCTGCCAGAGGATGCAGCATATCTGCCTGTCCAAATGGCGAATTAGCCGAGCCTATGAACAGCTGGACCTGGACAAGTGGCGGGAAATGCTCCCAAACTACGAGGACCTGGTGTACTTTCTGGCACAAATGCGACCTTACCTCAAGGAAATGTGTGCTAGCAGCTGCCTGTGCGCGTTGCTCAAGGACCTGGATGAAATGCAGATTTCGGTGTTTCCCCGAGTGACCAGTTTTTACTACGACCCCGAGGAACTCGATTGCTACCCTTCCAACCGGAGTATTCGCAAGCTCGCCCAGCTTCTACCGGGACTCCAAAAGCTACGCCTTACGACTCCCATCGATGGCAGGTACTTATCGCACTTTGAGCATCTGCAAGAGCTTCACCTTTATGAAGATCAACACAAGGCCTATGAGTTGCAGCAAGAATACCTCGACGAGATTTGCCAGTAAGTAGATGTTCAGTCAAATCGTGCCTTGACTTAACAGCTACCGTTTTACAGAAAGCTACACGACCTCAAGGTTTTAGACATCCGCACCTACGATGTTATCAGCAAGCTGCAGCTGGGAAACTGCCTACAAAGCCTACGAAATCTTACCGTGCTTAAGCTAAACCTGGCAACGTTAAAGCCCGTTCTGCCAGAGGTCCTGGAGCTGCCCTCCCTCAGGCAACTTGTGGTACTCCTTGATAACGAGTGGCACATCCCCCCGCTGGTCAGTCCCGATAGCTACGATCACAAGATTAGGGAAGTAGGGGAGTTCTACGATATTATGGAGCGAAGGGCCAAAGATATAGTCGGCTTTACGGTAGACGGCTATTACATGCCGTTGGAACCAGGCTGGGATGCGGAGCTGCCCATTTGGGCACATAGAAAATTAAAGCGGCTGGCCATTTGCAGCTGGAGCCATGCGGCCGACTACTTAGAGCGCTACACCTGCATGGAGGACCTGCGCCTTCTTTGCCTGCGCAACTGGAACGAGCTGAGCGATGAAATTCTGCTGCGGTTGGTCGAATTGTGCCCTCATCTTGAGCACCTGGACGTGTCTTACTGTCGTGAGCTCACTGCAAACTTCTTGCCCCGTGCCTTGGCTATCCTGAAGCAGCGCGAACCGCGTAAGCAAATGCCTGGATATCGACACACGCCACCTCTAATGCTATACTACGTGCTCAGTGGTTTTGAAGACTTTATAGATAAATCGGTAGCTATGTTCTAAACAGTCTTAGTTATATTTCTAATCCCTTTTTTCTCCCCAGAATCTCAAGAGCTCGCCGGATTATCGGGGATACATAGTATTCACGGCCGATTTCCCCTTGGGCTCGGAGCGGGGACTTAGCTTTGTAGATCGCGGCTATCAATTTGAATTTGACTGCCCTTGAAAATGTACATAAATAGAAGTAATATTTATTATTAAAGATAATGTTGCCTAAAACTACTACTTTTTTTTGGATATTGTTAAGTGTAACTTTTTACTTAAAAAAGTAATTTTATGATCACAAGAAAAGGAATATATAAAACCATCAATTATGACTGTATTATCACAAAGCTTTACTGTATGTAAAAATTTTATTTTTTTATATTTAAGGCAGATTATTGGTAAATTTTTTACATTACCTTGATGAGAACTAAAAAATAGAGCCGATTCTAGGACCATATATTCCTCTAGGAGGAGCCGCCTATATCCTATAGCTGCCATGTTACTTTGGTGTTTTAAGAGTTAGAAAGTTGGGATGTTCTGTGGATTCTTTTTTGGCAAAAATATACCTATACATAACAAATTTTATAAGGATCGGCCGACTAAGCCTTATAGCTGCCATATAAATGAACGATCGGAAATGGTATTTGGTAAAAATACCAACTTTGCTATTTTTAAATTTAGAACCTTGTGACTTTTTTTTTTAAATTTTGTATTTTTATAAATTAGTTTTATTATGATATTCTCAAAAAAATCGGCCAACTATATCTAATATTAGCAATATATGTCCGATTTGTAAGGATATATAAACCTGGCACCGCCAGAAGTATACTTCGCTTTCTTGTTTTTTTTTAATTGTATTAATTTTAGATCTTTGGGCAAACATAAACCAATTTTAAAGAAGACCAGAACCAATTACACTAAAAATCATATAGATGTCATCATGATACAATTATACATGTATTATATATACAATATAATACATTATTATACAATTATATTTGTATCATGGATGTCATCATATCAAAAGGTTAACAGTCCCTGATATTTTTGGTTTAGTGTGTGTAAAAATATTTTAGGTAATAACAAAGCAACCAATTCAAACAATTTCTGATTCATACAATCATCGTAACAAAGCTATACATACATATATTAAAAATCAGCGAAATGCACAAAAGTCGACCATATTTAACTACAATTTCCAATGACCCACGGCCAGGACACTTTCGCATGTAAGTTATGAAGTAATCGAACTAATCATTTAATGTGATATTAAATTCTTATAATTTTTTCTCTTAAGGACTTATTTAAAATTGGAAGAGGAGTGTAAGTTACTTTCTAAGGTGGAAAAAAGTTTAGGTGATATAAAACGAAACAAAGAAGAAAACATTATTTTACTGACGCACAAAGTTCCACCAGCCACTGTTGTGGTAAAAAACATTCAAGCCAATAAACACACTGACACTATAATAAACATAAGGGATCATTCTTTCATGTGCCACTCTAGCATATTAAAACTTTACTCAAAACGAATGTTTAAAAATTTGGAAAAAAATATTTTGAATATTTCCACACTTCAATTGTCTCCAAATGGCTTCAGTTATATTTATCAATGGATGATTTCGGAAATGGGAAAAATACCCATACCTTATATGCCCGAAGTTCTCAGAGCTGCATCATACTTAGAAATAACTGAGCTACTTGAGCATCTCTGGAACATTATAAATAGTCATATCTATACCAAGTTTTCAGCATTTAATATAATGTATGAAGGGCGTCACGCGTACGAGCTTGTGGAGATGAACGAACTGATGTCTAGCCGCATATCCAAATCAACTTTGATAATACTATCCAGTCGTGAGTTTCTTTGCCTCAATGAAAATCAGGTGTGCCATTTGCTAGCATCCAGCTCTTTGGCAGTAAACTCAGAAATGGAGGTAAGTTAATAAGGAGGAAAAGGAAGTAACAAATAGTATTTATTTATATATATAGTACATATTATTTTGAATCCTTGCAGAGGGTATTATATATCTGGTCAAAAGTCCAACGCAGTAAATGAGACACAAATCCGACCCCCATATTCTTGATTAGGACCTACTCCTGAGTGTAGCATGTCCGTCTCCCCGTCTGTCTGTCCATGTGTCTATAAGTCATCGATCGTAAATGCCATAACTTTGGTATTTCTTAAGTTAGAGGGATTATCCATGTGTCTATAAGTCATCGATCGTAAATGCCATAACTTTGGTATTTCTTAAGTTAGAGGGATTATCTTTTCTATAGGTTGTGCTTTAAGTGCTTTAAGTCAACTGATCAAGCGCAACAAATTATCGGCCAACTATATCTTATAGCTGCCAAATAACTGAATGGGGCTTTTTTTTTAATTTTTTATTTTAAGAAATTTTTATTCTTTTTATAATAAAATTCGTATGAGTATCGGCCAACTATATCCGATTTTTGATATATATGTATATCCGATCTTTACTGCAAGGGTATATTAACTTCGGATACGCACGAAGTTAGCTTTCCTTTCTTGTTTTTCTTTGAAGTAAAAAAAATCTTTTTTGTGTCGTTTCAGTTATTGTACAGTGCTTTTATGTGGCTTAATCATTTGTGGCCACGTCGTAGATCCAGCACACATTTAATCCTAAAAAATATTCGATTTGCTTTTATGTCTCCAACAATGTTAAACAAGTTTCGAAAATTGGAATGCCACAATACAGGCGTCTTTAGCCAAATTTTTAATGAATTTACTTATTTGCCGAAACTAACACAGCTTATTCAGGATGCATTATTTTATAGCACCTTAATAATAACCACAAACAACGAACCAACTTTGATTGAAGAAAATATAGAATACACTCAGATCAAGTCGCTAGCTCCACGTCGTTGGGTGTTCGATACTTTATGCCACTATCACCGACCAATAAGCCCCAATATGCGATACATATCGTTTGAACAATTTAAAAATTATTTATATCAATTAGTGAAGTCTGAAAGAGATTTTGATCAGTTCATGGAATGTGGAGATGATAATAATGATTCCATGAAACAAGAAGATTGTCAAATTGAAACAAACTTGGGCAAAATAATGATACATTCTATGTTGAATGTCAAGCATCTATCACAGTATATAAAACTTTTGACTGGAAACGTCAATTTGAAGTAAGCAATCCCATACTTTATTGTTACTTGATATGTATACTTGATAATTGCATGTTTAACATTATATAATAAAGAATCTGTAAATACAGTCGCATACCAATAATACCAGCATACCAGTCTGGGCTTCTTACTGCTCTAATTAAGGGGGCCATCCACAGGCGAATTTGTTTTGTCGAGAAAAAGTTTTCGCGGGGAAGCTATTCACTCCGTACACTACACACATGATTATCTTTTTAGGTTACCTATGTCCTAGTCCAGCAGGAAAGGGACTGAATCGTTTCGTCCCATTACTTGGAGGCTATGAAATGGCCGGGAGCGCTCATACAAGCGTCAAGGATGTTTTTATGAAGAGTTGTGAACATTTTCTCACATTTGCGAACTTTTCGGGAAAAAAGATGAATAGACCTCAAATCGGTAGCTTCTGCTTCTTTCCTACCAGAAATTTCTGGCATCTGGCCTCTATGAAAAATCCTGCCTACATTGGGTATAAAATTTCGCCGAAATTATAAATTGCAAATTTATTTTTATAAATTGAAATTATAATTATAAAATTATAATTTTGGTCACAAGTGTGCAACGCATCTTCGACCCTATAAACTTTATAGGGTATAAACTTTATAGTATAAAGTATATGAATTCTTTTTCAGGATCACCTCCTGAGTTATATACCTCCTGATACCTCCTGGCTGTTTCTACGCAAACAAGTCTCTCACTTTTAAAGCTATCGACTTCTTTCCTTTGCACGCAGTATATGAGTCGAAACGGCTGGGATCGGGCGACTATATCCTATAGCTACATAAAGGTGTAACAAAATTTCTTACCTTAGCCTAGTCACTATTTTTTTATATAAAAGGCAGATTATTGGTAAATTTTGGGAATTTTTTGTTTAGTGTCTATTTTGTTGATTTATAAACTAGTCACTGTGAATGTAAAGCCATAGGTAGACAAAGGTTTTTAAAATTTTTTCAAAATTTTTAATATTTTGAAACACCAACCCGCTTAACAACCGGTAACGAAGTCCAATTTCGCAATAGTCCAGAATGGTTAGAGTAAATTTATGATCAATGCTTTATTTATGACATTGTGTAAATTATTCTATTTACCCACTTTCGTCACAATTACTTTTTTCTTTTAACAAAAAACGTTTTAATTAAAAAGGGTATTTAAAGTATATTACTGGGATTCACCCTGGGATTGGTATATTACCTGGGATTCACCCTAGACAGGAGGCTCACCCGGAGGCCACATCTGATTAAGAAGAGGAAACAGACTTCGATCCTTCTACTGGCTTATGGGTAGGAGATCGAAGCTGAGAACGTCCACGAAACTTCTCATTTACAAGGCCATAATACGCCTAGTCTGGACGTACGGCATACAGCTCTGGGGCACTGCGTACAAACGTTCGAAAATAGAGCCCTTCGAATCGCCACTGGGGCGATTTATGACATCTTACCGGGCGATTCCACGTCTATCATGACAATCGCACCATCCACGAGGTTTTCAATTTTCCTTGGGTCAAGGACGAGATCCAAAGAAGCGGCGCTCGCTACATGCAGAGACTCCATAATCACCCGAACCTGTTGTCCATCGCCCTACTGGACAACAGCGAGCAGCCCAGAAGCCTAAAAAGGACGCACCCGCTGGACCTCCCCTGGATATCCTAACCATAATCTTTAAATACCATAAGCTAAGCTAATTAGAGTAGTAAGTCTAATTTAGTTCTCCAATATTAATTACACAGTGCGACAGTGATTTGGAACTTTTGAAGAGACCTATGTAGTAGGAATTGTTCATTAGGTCGAATATAGTATAAAACCGTGTTTGAAATTTTTCTTGTTTACAAATTGTATCTTTTTTGTTTCAAATTGTTCTTTTTTTAACATTTTTAAATAAACGTTATCCTGCTATTAAAAAAAAAAAAAAAAATTATCACAAGAAAAGGAATACATATAAAAAACAAGAAAGGAAAGCTAACTTCGGGCGGAGCCGAAGTTTATATACCCTTGCAGTTAAAACCGGATATATATCGCAAACATCGGATATAGTTGGCCGATCCTTATGGGAATAGGAATATATAATCCAATTTATTACAATACAAAATCTAAAAAAAGTCCCCAACTTCTATCTTCAAAAATACGAAAGTTGATATTTCTACCAAATACCATTTCCGATCGTTCAGTTATATGGCAGCTATGGGATATAGTCGGCCGATCCTAATGAAATTCGATAGGTTGGATCAATTGACCAAAAATAGAATCTGTATTAAATTCCAGCTTTCTATCTTCAAAAACACGAAAGTTGGGTCATTTCCGATCGTTCAGTTATATGGCAGCTATAGGATATAGTCGGCCGATCCTTATGAAATTTGGTACGTTGGATCATCTGACCAAAAATAGAATCTGTATTAAATTTCAGCTTTCTATCTTCAAAAAAACGAAAGTTGGGTCATTTCCGATCGTTCAGTTATATGGCAGCTATAAGATATAGTCGGCCGATCCTTATGAAATTTGGCATGTCGTAATGTTTTGCCAAAAATAGCTCTCATGTCAAATTTGAACTCTCTAACTCTAAAAACACCAAAGTTATACCATTTCCGATCAATCAGTTATATGGCAGCTATAGGATATAGTCGGCCGATCCCGGTCGTTCCGACTTATATACTGCGTGCAAAGGAAAGAAGGGTGTGTGCAAAGTTTCAAGACGATAGCTTTAAAACTGAGAGACTAGTTCGCGTAGAAACAGACAGACAGACAGACGGACAGACGGACATGCTCATATCAACTCAGGAGGTGATCCTGATCAAGAATATATATACTTTATAGGGTCGGAGATGTCTCCTTCACTGCGTTGCACACTTTTGGACAAAATTATAATACCCTCTGCAAGGGTATAACAATACATTATTGTATCATCACGAAGCTTTACTGTAACATATGTAAAATTTCGAAGAAGTAACAAACCTGGTCACACTGTCTCCTTTAATCGTTCTCATGTTTATGTTTACATTCGCTGAACCTCACAAGTGTTTCAAGTGATAAATACCTGTCTGGATAGTGGAAATTTAATCATCGCCAAGGGGGTTACTCGGAATCTGTATTGTAAATGAAGTACCAAGCAGGGGAGCATGGAAGAAGGCATGAAAAGACCGCATTTCACAGCGGAAGAGGAGCAGGAGCTACTCAGATTAGCTGAAGAGAACAGAAGCATCCTTGAAAATAAGCAGTCTGAGCGGATAATGTGGAAACTAAAGGAGCAGACATGGGAGAATATAGCAGTCACCTTCTACAGTAACACAGGGATTAAGCGCAGTGCCCCCAGCTTGCGAGTCAAGTATGATTTGCTTAGGAAAAAAGCCAAAGTTGCCCATAAGTCTTCTAATGGATGCCCTCCGCCACCCACACGAAGATTATCAGACAGAATATATAACGGGTTTCAGGATGGCGAAACCAACGAAAGTAAGAACAGTAAGTGTGGGACCATTACCTTAATAGAACAATTGAGACATCTTTTAACGATTTATTAATTTTTTTATATTGAAGCTTATAAGCTTGTTATTTTCTATTACTCACATTGCAGGCACCCAAATGGATTCACCTAAACGGACCCGTGTGGAATCTGATAACTTGTGTCAGCTGGAGAATCCTTCAGGTCTTAATTCAGACCATAGTGAAACCAATCCAGTTAACAACATTGGGCAGAGCCAACCAAATACAGCTTCCACTACACTCCCGATTATAGCTCCAGTTTTGTACAATATTAAGACCATTGATTTAGCCGATCAGCTTCAACACGAAAAATTATTACTATTAAGGGCCCAAAGATTATTTTGTGAACAGGAAAACACAAGGGCACAGGAGAAACATATGCTGGAAATGGAATCCTTAAGAGCGAAACGAGAGCTGCTGTTAATGGAAATTGCTGAAAAGAAGCAAGGCAGGAAATCGTAACGTCCCAAGTGATAAAATAAGGAACAATGGGGAAGACTTTATAGTAATAAGTCCTAGATAGTAAGGGGTAAAAATCATGTCAAAAATATTATTCAAATTATGTATTTAGCTTTAGCTCATTAGACTTTAAAATTAAATGAAACAGAAATTATCCCTATTTTCATACCGGGACTAAATTAATAGCTTTACATGTTCAAAAAATATATAAAAACGCTTCAAACGTTTTCAATGCCTTACATACATATCTATGTATAAGTATCTAATACTTTAAATTTAAATATATAAGCTATCTATTAAGTCTTCTGGCTTTCTTCTTGTAGGACAACTTGCTTAAGCGCTATTATTGAAGCTTCACTATGCAAAAAATCGAGAATCTCTTACCACGGACATGGTCACACTGGGTCAACATGCCCATTCTTTCACATGTTTATATTTACAATTGTGCAATACATCCAGATTTCCCAGCATTACGTTTATAATTTTAACTAAATCCTCTACTTGAACAACATGGCAGAGGGCAAGGATCAGAAGCCGGGAGATGGCATCCGCTCCATGCGTAGCACCGGGGCCTTCAGACTAATTAATTTTGAACTGTATACGAAACCGGTAGGAATATCATTTAAATATTTATATTCTTAATACTAGTTTCGATTTTGTAGAACAAAGTCATCATGGGTCTGGGCCTGGCGGCCGTCACCGGAGTTTTTGGATACATCGCCTATATGCGGTACAAGTACGAGAGCTTAGGATACTACGTAGCCGTCCAGGAAAATGGGCGCGAGCAGTTTTTAAAGAAAAAGTCCAATTGGGAAAACTAACTGTTGGAAGACTTCCGACCCCGAACCGAACCGAACATCGAAAGGAAATCTTTGTGGAAACATCTTTATTTACTCGGTAGCACAATTTGGTACATAAATTTGTTTTGTTGGGAGTTACTGTTTGCTTTGCCAAAAAATTTTTAAGAAATCACAATAGTAGAAAAATGTTTTTAACTAGAAACTTGTGGAAAATGTGAGCCACAAAATGAGCGTAAAACAGCAGGAAGGGACGGTCAGGAGCAGGAGGTGAAAGTGGAGTGGACTAGAGTGGAGTTAAACAAAGATGGACAAGGTGGTGTATGTGTATCACAATTACACGATCACGAACTCGAGAGCGTCGGTGTCGCCTACTCTGTGCCGCCTCCTGTTTCCCTCTCTCCGCTGCCGTCTTGCTTGAACCATCCTCGTCCCATCCTAAGCAGACAACTTCAGAGCCTTTAGCTCATCCAGGTACCGTGCTTCCATCTTAATCTTGTTCAGTTGGTTCAGCTCGAGGCTTTCGCCCTGACTGCGGCGCAACTTAAGCTTCTTGATGTCCGACAGCTTCTTGGCGACGCTACGAATCTTGCGATCCTTCTCACTGATGTTTTGGCCATTGGCCTGGCCCCCCTGCGGATGTGTTGGCTGATCGGCAGCGTTGTCCTGCTGGTTTCTTGCTCTGGGCGTGGCATGCTGCTGCTGCAGGAGTGGCTCGTCTCCGGTTGTTGTAACCGTCGATGGGGTTGCTCCTGGAAGCGCAGCCACCTCAGCTGTCGCAGAGTCCGCATCGCCGCCATTCACAGCGTGGACATCCTTTCTGACTCCCCTGGGCTTGTTCTTGGCGTTCCGCTTATTGTTGCTGCTGTTAGCACCACCTGTAGGCGGAGGAGAAATGCAAACAGCAATTAGCAAGCACATTTCCGAGCCTACTTACGGCCGCGTCTATCCCTAATCCTAATGGCATGTTAATACAAAATGTGTGAGGTGGGAGTGAAGGAGTAGCTGAATAGCTAACTAGCTGCGTGAATCTGAATCTAGTAGCGCTTATGCTGGTAGGGCCGATAGCGCCGGTTGGGGCGGTTGGTCGAGGTGCCCCCATTTGCGTTCTGACCCTCGCGCCCGCCGGTCACCACCATCTGGCACTGGCCCTGCTCGCTCCGTCGCATGATCGGATTGTCCAGGTCGTACTGCCTGTGCCAGAACTTGCGCGTCGTATTACCTGCTCCAGCACCTGCCGTCGCCGCGGCCAGTCCAGGGATGCTTGGCTGTGGCAGGTACTTGTCCGGATTCTTTCCCTCCTTCAGCAATCGCAGATGGGGCGGTGTGTAGGCTTTCTTGCTGGCCTCTGGTTGGCTCGACTTGATCCCCTCATGCTTGGCCTTGGTGATTTTTGGCTCGGCGAATGTTTTGTCCTGGAACTGCTGCCACTCGATACCCAAAAGCTCCTGACCCTGCGGCCACATGGTTTCGTGGAGAAGTGCTCCAGAATAATGATAAACCTTGAAGCTGAAAATACAAATCAAAATTGATATCTATTCCGACAGAGTTAGGAGATGGGATGACTCACCCGTTGCTAATCCTGAGCCTGGGCGCTGTTGTAGCGGTGACAAACCATTCACCGTTTGGATGCCACTCGAAGACGGTGGTGTCGGCGCACTTGAGATTCGCCAGCTTCTCACGCTTCGACACATCCCACACCTCGACGGCTCCTGGCAAATTGCCGAAGCCGGCGAGCACGATGAGGTTGCCGAACGGGTTGAAGTAGGCGCAGTTGCGCGGTCCCTCGCCAAAGTCAAAGATCACATCGCATTTGAGATTGTAGAGGGCTGCCTTGGAGGGCATGAACCCGTAGACGACCACAAACTCATTTGCTTTGGGACTCCACTTGACGCAATGAACAGGTCCCTCCTTCGAAAGTGGCACTGAGCATGTATCACCCTTGGTGGCCATGAAGTGCACGGCCTGGTTGCCGTAGTAGGAAGCGCCGCTCTTGTCCACCTCGGTGCTGGTCAGCAAGAGCAACCCGCTGCCTCGTTTATTCCACAACATTTCGACGCGGTCCGCCTGGAAGAAGCTCTTGCAGGCGACGGTTTGGTTCTGTCCCAGCGCCGGGTACTTGTAGAGTTTGCACATGGAGGGGGCTCCCTTGGCTCCCGGCGTGTAAAAGGCCAAGAACGGTGGGCTGTTTCCAGGGCCTAGCGAGAGCATTCCTCCGCGGCTTCCTCCGATCTTTCGCGAAGCTGAAGTAAATCCCTTGGTCGTACCCTCGCCCAGATCGTAAAAGAGGGCTTCCCCACCGACAACCATGGCGAAGATGGACTCGTCGGAGGACCAAGAAGGCTCCCAGTCTGTCTGGTTCTTTTGAACGATCGCGAACACTTCGTTACCGCTTGCCACCTCATAGACAAGAAGGTTAGGTGATCCTTCCGGTCGGTCCTTGGTGATAGTATAGTGCTCCCAGGTGCACAGGTAGCTGCCGCGCGGCGAAAACTTGAGGTAGAAGGCCTTGGGTCGCGGCAGTGTGCACTGCACCGGCCAGCTGCTGGTTTGGTCCTTTCGCGTCTCCAGAACCTTTACCTCAAGTCCGTTGGAGTATGCAAAGTACCGGCCATCAGGGCTGAAACAGATGGACCGGGAGCTTTTGGTCTCCTCGCGGGGCAGGTGGGACTTGTGCTCGTAGGGCTGCTTGGCGCCGGCCGTCGACCATAGCTCAACGGCCACGCTAGAGCGAACTGTGAACGGATAAACGGACAGGGTAGCACCCGATTAGTGAGCGACACGAGGTCGAGTGACTTTTCGCTTTTTTGGCTGCCACGCGGGGCGGATTTCAACGCCTCCACCGCATGGGCTCACCAGCGAGTTGGGGCCACCATGGGCGACCGTTTGGTCAATTGATTCGCGAAGGATACTCACTGGCAAGGGTAGGAACAACCAGATCCGCAGCTGCAGCCATTGTCTTCCAATCTCACACGCACACACACACAGGAACAAGCACACGCAGGCCAGACGTCGGTGATGTTGTTGTTGCTCTTGCTGATGTTGTTGTTGCTGTCTGCCCGTGTTCTGCTGCAGCCGTCAGTGTTGGTTAACGTTTATGTGCTAGACACATTCAGTGATGTAAAATATTAAGATATAAATTTTAAATTTTTTAAATATAATTTTTAATAAAATTTAAGCAACATGAAAAATGTTTGATAAAAGTTTAGCAAACCGAAAAAATTGCAAAAAAAATAAAATTGAGAAAAATATGGTAAAAACTGTTACGAAGAACGTGAATCAAACATGTTAAATACATATATTTTAGCTTTTTTCTCAAAATGCATATACGCTTTTCATATTGTCAGTTAAGTTTGTACTTACTTGTAACGTTGAACAATCAACCAAACCAAACCAAACGTATTTAGAACTGCAACAAAATTTCTGCTCTACGTGAATTTAAAAACATTTTAGTACTAACACATTCCTAACTGAAACTTCGTATATGTCAAAATGGGGCAATCGAAGGTGTGTTGATAAAAAAATTGTTATGTTTTGGAATATGTTTGGAAGCCTTCGTAATGTCCATGTTATTGGACTCATTCTGCAGACATATTGAGTGGTAACAATGCAAATAAAGAGACTCAAAATCAGACGCGGTCGTGGGCCAGGTCGTAAAGTCAAAGTTCAAAACCCGATAGAACGCCATAGTTGCTGACCAACTCCTTTGGTCCAGTAACGGGCAAAGATCGCTAACCAGCTGCGTTATGCATCCATTAAAAAATACTTCAAGGAGTTAAACCAAGTGGTTAATATTACAAGCACTAGGAAAAAGAACTGATTCATCTACTTAACGATAGACATAAAGTATAATTTTCCAGTCACCAGTAATTTTCAATTGCGCGCCACTTTAGTATTTTTTGAAAATCTCTTTATCGCCTATGTGTTGGTCACACTAGTTTATGGCCAAAGATAAGTTTGGCGCCACATGTGTTACAATCTCTGAAATGCGGAATGTTAAACCTGTGTATTTTATGTTTTCAATTTCCATTTTTTCCCTAGAATCCTATAATTTCCACACTTAGAACCTTGTTAGATATAGATCTAATATCAACACGTTTCTGTTTGTTTTTTTAGTGGTGTAGCTGATTTGATTCCTTTTATGCGATTTCTTGTCTCAAGATCTTAAGTATTTATATAATACTTAGTATTTATATAGTATTTATTTCGGTTATTATAAACTATCCCAGGACAGGATTAACAGGACTTTAGCTTCAGTTTGAGTATTAAGCTTTAAGACAATTGTTTGACCGGCTAATACTTTCCCGATCACTATTGTAGTAATCAGACTTCAGATTCTGAAAGACTTATTATTGGAGAAAAACTTTCCAAAATATAGTCAAGATATGCGCTTGGAAATTAACGCTATTTCCACTGCTTGGAATTTATAAGCACAATAATCTTAAGAAATAGGTAAAAGGCCTAAGGTTCCATTTTGTTCCAACGGGTCACTCTGGCCCGGCCAAAATTTGTAGCTTTTTGTAGCCCTCGAAGCCCGTGTAGCCCGTTTTCCAATTGCCTCCATATTATAAACATAACCCTATGGTGATAATATTTCGTTTAGGGCCTATAAGTCTTGAAGTGAAGCGCGGCAAAAAAGGCATTGGAACCCTTATTCAAACTATTCAATTCAGTAGCCCAGGTCTAATTTTCACTGGACCACTTGGACCATTCGATTACCCAAGAGTGAGGTGACGCACAGCCGTGCACAATTGGAACCCGTTCAGTCACTTTCGCTGAAAAGTGTCGGGCTGTGCGTCGATGACACTTGCGTTGACACCGCGCGCATGCGTGTCAGCCCCAAACTGGGGCTTTCGTGGGGAAAGAGAGTTGGAGCCAAGGCAGCGGCTCTCGTGTTTCGGTTCAGACAATGTTTCTTTCGTTTTATTGTGGCAATAGACGGCAGCTGCGTTTGTTTCAATTGTTACTATTCATTTTATTTTATTTATACTTGCCAGCCGAGCACTTTTTCTGCACGCCGCTACGACAATTGACTTCAAATGTCGCGCATTCGCTTGGCCACTATGAAAGTTTTTGTGGCCATTCGGCGTTTTCTTTATTTTTCGATAATAACCAAAGCGAATTGAAACTAATATAGCTTGATAACTTTCCCAAAAGAAAATGAAAAGCGTCTTATAATTATCAGAAAAATGAGGGAGATGGCGTGAGGAGCGTATTCAGCCAATCGATTATGTAATGTTATTAATGGTTAGTTTCGTTTCAAAAGATCTAAGAAACAGCCTCGAAAGTTGTTATATCCACGATTTGATTTTAGAATATTATTAAACATTATAGCCGATTACTTTTCTGTCATTAACAACTTAAAAACTGCACTCCACATCCAAGCCAGAGGAAAAGAAAATCGAAGAACCTCTATTCACTCGGATTCCTTAAAAAAAAAACAGGGTGTGAATTATCCCTGACACGGTTTGGATTATAGGTTGGATTATAGGTTGTCTTTTCTGCATCGGCTTCTGCTGTTGCTTTAACTGCCACGATTATTGTAGTTCAGGGACCGAGACAAAAATTTAAATTGTTACAAAAATAAAATTTAATTAAAATGTTTAAAGGCCCATGGGGAATTATTCTTCTGCCAGTTGCAATTTTTTCTCTATTGGCATGTTTTTGTCTCCTTTGCATATGTATCTTGTGTAGTGGAGTCTGTGGGTGCATGATGAGATCGCTTCATATTTGTCCTCGTCTAGAAGCAGAATTATCCGATCAAGCAATACCAAGGATCGGTCAACGAATGGCAGTGGTTCCCGAGGAGCCTCATGAAACGGAAGGGTTGGAGTCGGAAGCGGGGCCGCATCAACCAGAAGAAAAATTTAACGTGAATATGTCGGAGCAGCCCACATAAATATTTCTCAATATTTATGATTATTTTTTCAAAGCCAATCTTTTTTTAAAAGGCCATTACTAATTTTAAATAAATTGTTTCTTTAACTAGTGAAGTGTCTTGCATCTAAATATTCATTGAAACCTCAGGGGTTAAATCGGTAGTTTCATTTGTTACGAAGCTCTAAAAGATCTCCAGAATATTGTCCATATCTATTTCTATTTCGTTTGGCACGATTTCTTAAAAAGTTCTCAACTTATCTTGACGAAATTTAAGCTAGGTCTTAGAAATAAGTTATAGTACTAATTTAACATACTATAGGACCTTTATATTCAAAAAAAAATGTCATAAAGTTAAAGTTATTTGATTTTTTTCATAAAAGCAATTGCCAAAAATATTATATTGTTTTCTTTTTAATAGTACAATAAAAATATTGTACAATAACGTTATTATTATCTATTAAACAAATTTTATTTTATATTCATAAAAATATCCTTTTTGTGACCCGAGAATAAAATATTTTATAATTTTATATTTTATATTCATTTCAAAAACAGTAAACAATTTTCATTACACTTGAAAGAATTTGAAGAATATATTTTGCCTTATAATTATTGGAAATTATTCAAATAAACCATATACCGGAGACAAGCCAGGAGAGTTAAAAACTAGTCTCCAGCCATTCAAAGGAATGCAAGAAATTAGACTGCAATTCAATTTCTTTTCAGCACTTGTCAAGTGAAATTGAAAAATGTAATCCTTGCGGTACTGGTAGGCCCGGTAATGCTCGGGTGCCAGGGCCACATCTTCGGCTTCCTGGCCTTCGCATTCATCCAGATCGGCACCCACAACTTCTACGGGCTACAGCGGGAGCCAGAGCAGCAACGGCAACAGCACCAGCCGCGGCAACACTTGGCACGACAGCAACAGGTTACGAGTGCGAGGCGAGCGAAGATCCCATTGCCACGGCCAGTGGAAGAGGCGGCGACGCATGCGCCGCTGCAGAAGCCGAAGCCGACGCAGACGGAGACGCTGACGCCACCAAGACCGCACCAAGTGCTTAAGGAATGGTAAACGTTACCAGGTAACGTCAGTTCAGGTAGAGCGCTCGAGTTGGTCGGTTGTCAGTCGCGCGTTGCCACCAAGAGATCCGGAGCGGCAGTGGAAACAGATCAGATATCAGAGGCTGGAACCGATCCCGAAAGATACGTTCCGTGTAACTCCCGTCGATCGTGAAGTGTAGTGCCAAGACCCAAGATACGTTCAACACATAGAACACCCCAAGTGCCCAAGTACAGCCAATAACCCAAGAATCGGAGAATCACCATCCATCCAGCCAACACACACAGCTTCAAAATGGAATACCGGTGCTTAAGTAGAAGTTCTGTCAAAGTAAGTGACCCCAATAAGCACAAAAAATAAAGACACTAAGTCGGAGCGCCCACAAGGAGAGGCAGCTGCAAGATCTCTTACACGTCTCTCCGCTTTACACCTTTTTTATATTTTGCCTGAACTTGGCATTGTTCTCTGCGTCTGCGCGTCTCTGACTTTGACTTCGACTCCAACTCCGACTCCTTTTGGAAACCTGTATGGCAGTATGGCATAAAGAACTCATATAGCATGGCTATATACATATGTGGCTATCTGTGCACACATGCAGTCGGCCCCGCCCACAGCAGGCAACACCTTCGGTGGTCCATTAAGTGCCTGGCGTGGATTGGCATGGGTTGACTCGGCCAGCCATAAACTGGGACTGGGACTTGGACTGGGATGGGTTGACTCCGCGGGCTGGGCTCCGTCGCTCGCCCACTTCGACCCATTTCCGCGCCACAATCGGACGATGGCATGAATTAGCACCTTTCTTGGACTTTCTTTTTGGCCGGTCTTGACGAATTTATAATGAATTTGCTTTGGCCAAATAACTTTTACTAGACTGCGCTCTCCAAGCGCGTATACACGCTAACTCCGTGCTAACCAGGCTTAGACTATGGGTACGTGTGTGTATAGATGGTTTGTCAGTCGGGTCACGTCTAGGCCCTGGCACTGGAATTGGCAACTGCAGAGTGCGCGGCTTGGAGAGCGGGCTGGGTTGATATATGGCACGGTTTCAGGAATGTGGCAGTGGCAGGAGATCTGACCCTGCGATTGGGGTTATGGCTTGAGAACCGGCGATGCATTCCTGTGGGACCGGCTACTCTTCCGTGAGACGCCAAACGAAGTCCCTGAAATGGAGCCCGAAGATCTCCCAATCACTGGCTCTGAACTTGACCGACTTTGGAGCCGAAAAAATGCTAATCAGAGGCTAGCGTAGAAAGCAAAATCACGCCCGCACCCGCTCGCTTAGTCAACGATTTCCCTTCCTCCCTGAACACGGATTGGTGATTTCTTGGATCCGAGATTCGATCAGCTATTTGCTCAGCTTGGAGCTCGAGTTTCAGAAACTTAATCATCTTGTTCGGGCCTGGATGATTCAAGCCGAGAGTCAGACCCTAAACGCCCGAATGCCGAGCGTGCCGGGGGCAAAAGCGAAATAAAAACTTTATAAAAAGTAGGCTAAATATATTCATACTTTGATTTTTATGGGTTGCTGCCGTCTGTCTCCCAATCTGGCTGCTACCCACTCGCACAGGTAGAAAATTCTCATTCAAGCGCGTCGTCTTTGTTGTTCTTCAGCCGGAGGGCTGAGCTGGGCCGGAGCCCCGAAGAACAACGGCGGCGAGGTGGGTATAACTACTATATAGTATTTGCAAAGCGGAATTATAAACTGTTAACCACATCGTGCTGCTGAAGTTCTGGGTCAAATATTTCCGAGATCTTCATTCCCATTAGCTTCGGCTGGTGGCATCTAACCCCGGGAATATTGTCACGGATCCATGTTAATTGCCGTTTTTAGTGCTTCGCCAAAAGGTAACAGTACCCGCCCTCGAAATAATGAGCCGGATTATCCAGTGAAATCTCTTCTATTGAGCGTAATGAGTAAAAGTGTTGCTGCTCAGACTCGATTGTCATTAAAATTCCACGGTTCTACCAGTGGTCCACCGACCTCAGCCCCGGCTCTTAGCCCCGTTTCCACGGACTCGTCGGCGGATCGGACTCGGATCCCACCATCTGGTTTGGACAATGGTCGCGGTCCAAAAATGAAAGCGCCGCTGTCGTCGCTGCGCTGCGCTGCGCGGGGGAGTGAAAGGGGCCACCGTAGCCGGAGGTGGAAGCAGAAGTCAGGGTCTGTGCACTTGTCCCGCTCTTTCTCCCCAGCCCTTTCCGCGCCCCCCTCCTTGCTGTTGCGGCTGCGGTCTGGGAAAACGTGATCTGCATAGTGGCTGCGACTGTGACTGCTTCTCGAGGAAAAAACCATTGAAAGTTTTGTCGCTTCGGGGTTATCACGGCATCGAGCTTTGTTGTTTGTCGCGGAACGAAAAAATTGAAAACAACAAAAACACCGGTCTAATGGGCATCAGTGCTGAGAACCAGCAGAAGAAGCTCTTGGTTGCACTCTTACCTTTCCTAACTCGATATGATTGATCGTTTGCCGATGAATCCTCTCTACTTTTTAAAAGAAGGAAATATTCATTCAGAAACACTTAGCAATAATTGAAAAAAAATCTTAAAAAGTTAATCTTTTTAAACTTTTTTAATAATATTAAAACGCTTGTTTAAACCTGTTGTAACTATTAAACTATTAAAGTCCATCTATTATAGATGATTATTTATTATTATCTTGAAAGACTGTGCAAATAAATAGGCAATAAAATTATGTTTCCCTTAAAACTAAGAATCTATTCCTGTAAGCCATGTAATTAATTGAATTTAATTAAGATACAATCTTCAAAATTGAATAAAAATTTATATTTGGGTGGATACTTTGACCTACAAAATTAAATCTATTTCCAAAATAGATGTTTTCGGCGTAGAACCGAGTAACTAAACGATTCGGTTCAAGCCAAGTCGAAGCAAGTGCTGCACCAAACAATTGGCCTTTGCTTGTCATCAGCTTTTCCTGACCAACTGCTCCACAATCGTCGAACAAAAGCCTTTGGGAAATTGTGTCAGTCAAGTCAAGCGAAGCCGCCGGCCGAGCTTAGAAGCCACACCAACAGCACAAACCATTCTCTCCCAATTCGTTTCAATCACAATGCATTATCACTGACATCCATTGAGAATGTGGAGCTCGCCAGACGACCAGAGGCGGAGATGGACCCGCGGCTATGGGCTAAGCTTATCAATTCAGTAAACCAGTTCCAGATGCAGCCGCATCGCGTGCATCTCGGCAGCCACGACAGAGCCAAGAACCCAGTCCAAGTCGCAGTCACTTGCGGCTATTTGTACGCTGTCAATAATCTGTCCGCTGGCCGTGCTTTCCCGAATCCAATTTTCACTCTTGCAGCTGTTTGGGCTCCAATGTGTTAGAATTTAATTCATTTGTTATTAAACGCCGATGTTTGTTTAAAGATCCCCGATCCGAGAGCCGGGCTCCAACGGTGAGCGAGCGAGAGAGATGGAGATGTGGGTCGTTAACCTCGTTATAACGGCACCTGATACACGAACTGAGCCGCTGCTCTTGACAGTTTTGCTCGTCGCTTTGTCTCTTTTCGCCGTTGTTGCTGTTGCTGTTGGTGTTGGTGTTGCTGTTTCTGCTGGATTCCTTGGTTCTTTCTAGCCTGCTTTGCTTTTGTTTTGCCCTCTCATTCGCAGGCATCAAGGCAAAGAAAACGCAAAAGCAAGTAGTGCACTCAGGTGTTGAGCCGTCTTTTCTGCTGTTGTTTGTTGTTGATGTTTTTGTTGTTGTTGTTATGTAAGCCTAATGACGGGGCAATCTGAAATTGTCAACGGTTCGTCAATGGGTTTTTGATTAATGCATGAATTGCCGATTTCCAAAGCCCAATTATGAGAGCCTGCGGCTCGAAATTACAGACTGTCTTCCACAGTTCAAACTGCGACTATAGTTTCAGTCAAATAGCGCATTTCTATAGCTCGAAGAAGAAATTGTCTGGAATTAACTAGGTTTCTTTTAATTACGAATTTTTCATAACCTAGAAATTCTCAAAAGTCAGTTTAAGAATAACTGTATCTGTTAGACATTTTCAAAAGCTAAAAGTAAAATTTTCCTATAACTGCTGTTACTATCTAGTATTAACAAAGCAAAACGTTTTAAAATAATGTTTAAGAGTATTTAGATGTTATGGTAGTATAATTATATTCAAGTGCGAACTGAAAATAATTAAGTTGCCAGGATATTAATTTTTTTTACCAGAAAATCAGAATTTTCCCTACCAGATACCAGAAATTGACAATTTGACTTATGGATGTCAAACTGTATTTGCATTTCTCTGCGATCGGTCATTCGGGACAGTCATGCCGCTATCACTTCAATGAACCCGAGCAGACCTAAGAAAGTCGCCTCATTAGGAGACATACCCAATCAAGATGGCAATTACCAGGTAAAATACGTCTTGTGACAGGTTCAAATGGCAATGGCTCTTTTTGGTCCCAGGGTCTGCTTGTCTGCTTTAATGTCGAATTAAGAGGGGACCGCGAGCATTTATTAAACGAAATTGCTGAAGACTCATAAAAACGGAAAGTCCGACGGACCAACAAACGTATGGTACAACCGGACGACCCGACAAAATGACAATGACAAGAAAAGCGCGTTTAATGAGCCACAGAATTTGACAAAAGGCCATAATGCAGGAGGTACGAGATCGGTGAGAGTGGCTGGTGTCGCACCGTCAAGCTTCACTGTCTGCACGTGTGTAAGTGGCTTTCCCGCTCGTCGCCTCCGGCCCGCGCTTGGCTCCCACAGGTTTGGTAATTTCATGTAATGAATGTGAAAAGAATTAAATAATAGAATTTCGCTTTCGTTTTTCCCACCATACCAGATGCCATGACCATATACACGCAATGACCATTATGGCCCCTCGACCGCCACTCGAATCGTTGCGTTTTGGCCAAACGTCTCACTGAAAAGAAAGTTCAGCAGATGTGCGAACCGACCACGCGAACGCAACAATAAGAAACAATAATAGAAAGAAAATATTTATATCAATTAAGAAATACTTGCCGTATTTTCATTGACAGTCAGTCGGACAAAGACTGAAAGAAACTCTGCGGCCTGACCGATTATCGTGGAATGGTTGGTACGTGCAGCGATTTTCTCAGCAGAAAGCTAAGTATGTTCGGATCTTCCGATGTACAGATGTACGTATGTACACAAATACGAGCACGAAAGAAAAATGGCAAATTTTGTGCTGCAATTTTAATTCAATCCAAACTGGTTTTCGGCTCTTGATCGGGCACTTGATCAGCAGCCAAATCTGCACAGAGAAAGTGAAAGAAAATACAAGCGCGCGGCTAAATAAAAACCGCAAGAAGAGGCAATAAAAAGTTCAGACCATATTAGAAGTCAGCTTTGCATGCCGCTCAAAAATGTATCTTGTATGTCTGTATAATCATTTCTTCTCCTGCCGTCTAGCTGTCCAATGTGGGTTTCTTCTTTGTTTTTACTTTCACGTACCCTGCCTCACGAGATTGTTATTTATGAGCTTAATTAATTTGTTTATGGATTTCGGGTCTAAGCGGGTCAAGTATGTGAAAATAGAAACTTTTCATCGCTTCGAAGTTCGAACCCCCCAGAGGCTCCAGGGGCGAGGCCCTTCCAACTTTATGGCGGCCGCAGTAGCTGGGCGCCTTTAGAGCGTTTCCCAGAACTCTGCCAAAATCCCCCCAGACTACTGTGTGTTCTTGGGCCATGGTCAGGGTCAGCGGTCAAACGACAGGCCATAAAACACGTTACAACACTTACGGAAGGGCTGTCCCCAGAGTCTACATAGTCTGGCCCGGCCGGACCAGTTGGCTCTTCTGGTCAGCAAGAGCCCCGTCTGGCGATAGGCTTGCCGTTATCCGCACGGGCTTAAACTATGAAACGAATTCAGATTTATGATACCATATCTGGAAAATTGGGAGAACAAATATATAATGACGGTTGAAATATAAAATTTCAATTTAAATTCTTCAATTAACTTTTTGAAGGCCGTAGTTTGGAAAAACTTATAAATTATATTTATTGTTATATGCAAACCTTAAATTTTAAATAATAAGTCCAATTGGGCATCTTAGTTTAGATTCTTAACATTCGAGTATTAAATCGTACCTGATACGCTTTATATTTATGTTTTTGCCAGAACTTATGATTAAAGGTTTTTTTTTAAATATTGCAACCAAAAATATAGATTGTATATTTTAAAACCAAATGCATTGTCTTGGATTTGTGTACTATCCCATCTGAATCCCACCTGGAACCTACAACCCTATCTATCTTAAGAAATCTCCACTATCTTATTAAGGAAAAATGGCATAAAAATATAACAAGTTAGCACATCATTTGAGAGAAGTCACTAATATTTATATTTTGTGAGTTTATTGCCGATATTACATCTTTTGGTATCTTTTTTTTGTAAGCATCAAAAGCTTCGTTTCCGTCCTGAGGCTTATAGATTGAGATGCAAATAAATACAATGTGTGATCCACAAGAGACACTTTTTAAGAGATAAAACCTCTCGTATCTTAAGCCTGCAAAAAGTTATTCCACCGCCTAACCGTTTCGTAACCCACATCCGCACTTCATCTTTGCAGCACCTAACGGCTCTCTGCGTCATCACCGCATTCACCTGCGCCAACGCGGCTCTGTGGCCGAGCTACAGCAGCGACGATGCGCCTAGCCGGTGCGCCGGGGGGCGTGGCCTGAAGTACCTGTCCGGCGACGCGCTCACGGACTCGCCCGACTGTCTGGGCCCCAACAATGCGCCGTATCCCAGGTGAGTCTGAGTCAGAGAGTGCGGTCAGGCCGCGGTAACTTTCTTTTTAACGCCCCCTACTTGGGATGTGGAATCGCTGCAGTGCGGCCGTGGCGCGTACATTCTCCAACTGGAACGGAAACTCGCGACGTGGCCGCCAGAGCAAATTGCCTAGCACGCTGGACCCCGCCATAACCACCAGTGCTCTGCTGAGGGCCTACGACGAGGTGAACAACGAGGCCGTCGGAAGCAGTCGCTACGGTAAGTCGGTCAGGCCGTCGATGGCAATTGATCGGGTCATTTGTCCACTCATTGGGTCCACCGGTGCGGTTGATTGATTGACTCACTGATTGATTAATCGACAGGTCGCTCGCTGAAGAACGCCACGCCGGCGCACCAGTGCAAGAGTGAGACGCCGGCCCGGCTCTGCAAGACCCGCTACAACACCACGGCGCCCATGTACGGCGTGAGTCTCACCTCCGGCCAGCCCGTGACCATTGTCCAGAAGTTCCCCGATCTTTTGCAGCAAGTGGTCTTCGAAGTGTGCGAGTAAGTATAAGTAGTTTCTAGTGTTCATTTAATATATTAATGAATTCCATTTTACAGATCCTCCGAGTGCGATGTGGTTCGGGGCGAGTGCACGCAGACCTATGTTCCCTACCTGTTCCTGGTCATCCCTCTTGGACCGGTGACGCTGACTGGACAGGATTACGTGCTGGTGGAGAGCGGATGCGTGTGCAAGCCGAAGTACTCGACAGGAGCTGCCCAGGAGCCCAATATGATACCTTAGGAGTGGGGCGGGGCACTAACAAAAAACCCCCCACCCACCAGGAACACCAACAGCAACCAAAAGAACTGAGCGAGTTTTGGGTCGGAGCGGAGCTGCGCTGGCTGGCTAAATTAATGTGTACTTAAACGAGGAATTATTTTTTGTAGCGAAATCAATTTTGCAATGTTATTTAATGTTTCCCCATCTCTCATACCCCTTTTCATCCCCTCTCAGCTGTATAAAATTGAAATGCAATTTTGCTCAAAAAATAATCAAATCCTAATGTTAAGTCTAAATTTAAACAAATTTGAATTAATGCTTCTGTGCATTTGTAGCGTGTATTTATTAGTAACCCTAAAATCGTGGCATTCGAAAATGCTGAATAAAAACATTCGTTTCGATACGTAAAAACTTCTTTTAATCATGGGAAAATTATACAACTTTTTATTTTATAAGATATACAAAGATTTGAAATATAAAAGTACTCGAGAATAACCCAGACGGTGAAAAACGCTTAATAGATTCACACTAGTTTAAACCAATTTGAACTTTGAATTTTTTGCGCCATTTTTTTAGAAAGATTTACAACACTAAAAATACTCCCAGTTGAGTAAATTTCTGGTATTTAACAAACAAAAAACAGTATTGTCAGATTCCCATTTTTTATCAACGTTATCGAGGTCGATAAATTAAAAAATTTTTTAAATTTGTTTAATGAATACGATTAGTGTCAAACTATTTTTAAATTTATGCTGAAAATAAACGGGTGAAGTTCATAAATTGGAAATGTCAGGAAAGCCCCTCCATAGGAATGCTAAGAAAATATGATGTAATAAAGCTAAAAATCGAGTAAAGAAGCATAAACACCAAGACATCGAGCAAAATTCTGAGGTTCCCCCACTTTTTATATGGGATTTTCCGTGCGCTGAATAAACCAACAAAAAATCAAAAAAGAGGCTGCCCACTTGCTGGCAGGCTAACGATATCTGTCAATCCTTTGCAACACTACCAAACAAAATAAATAATTTCGACATCCCTAGCCACACTGCACTTGCACCTTTCGATTGAAACGCAATAAATATTTAATAAGTAATGAATTTTAGCCAACGCCAACCAGAATGGCACAGAATTCCAGCAGTGGCTCTAAATCAAATTTTCGATTACCTCTCGCCCGAGGATCGTCGGTCGGCCGCGAGTGTTTGCTATTCCTGGAGACCTGTCTTTTTTCAGAAACGGTAAGTTGGAGTGCCCTTGCGTGAGTGTATGTGTGGGAGGATTGAAAAAGTTTAATTTTTGCTTATTGGGCGTTTTGGTGTATGTTTAAAACTCTTTGTACTGGCCCATGTCTCGTATACCATGACAATAGGTTGATAAACACACAGACTACGTCTGTGCACTACGTCGCATTTGGCAACGTATCATGTTTGTGTTGGTCGGGGAGCCCAAGATAGGGGGAATTCCCCGAGCCAGCGAAAATTTGTTAGTAAATGGATTTGGCTCGTGCCTGGCAAGTTACACTTGTTTTCAGAGGCTCCTTGCCAAGTTATTGTAGTATTTCTTTTTATATTACATTTTTTGTTATATTAGGGAGCTGCTGACGTAGCAGGTAAGGTCAAGATAATGAAGGCTAAATGCTGACATGTCGTAATTAGCATTGCTGCAATAGCTATTGTTTACGTAGAAAAACACACAGGTATTCATTTTAGGCACTAATTTAAATACTTCCAGTATAAAGAAAACCAAAAGACGTCAATAGACTACATATATGTATGTATGTATATGTTGTACATAAACAATTTCTTTGTTTATTATTTTTTTATTTATTTTAATATTTGGAATTCACATACATATATGTATATATTTTTGTCGCAAACATTTACGTTTTAACTCGAAATCTTCCAATACGAGTGCAACGACTTTTAGTAATAAAACCGTATTCCCAAATTGCAGTTATTTTAGAAACTTTCGCTTTGAGCTAGACCTGGCCCAAGATGATCAGTTGGAATTTTTTCATCGCTGCATGTCCAACCTGGCCAGGGAAGTGACTGTGGTTTTTGACTTTCACAGTGCATTTCACATCCAAAAGATGCGTCCGCTCCTATACAAGTAAGTACAAGGAAACTATAAAAATGAGTCTGATAAATTAACCTTTTTTTGTTGCAGAGTGGCACGCTGTGATAACATTCAGGGGTTGCGTCTCCAGACACACAATGTGGGCCTAGTCGGAGTGGGAAACATGCACACCGAGCACCTAGCGGCCATTGAGCAGTAAGTAATCAAACGGATTTATAATCAATTTTTTTAATCTATACCCATTTAAAGGTGCTTCGTAGAGCCGCTTAAGCTCTTTCTCAACCGCAAGCGTCATCCTTGTCAGCTTCTGGACCTAGGTGCCATCGAAGCCCTCACCTACTATGGCTATGACTTGCTGAAGGCGATGGGCAAACCACAGGAGCTGTTGCAGCTCACCCTAGCCAGCATTAAATACGACCCTAGTCACTACCCAATCCTCACTATAGACACGACGTTGCTGCAAAAGTGTGCTGCCCTACAGGTGCTATCCCTAGACTACGATACCATATGCGACGAGTTGCTCCACACGATTCAGGTGCTGCCGCTGCGAAAGCTACTTATCGCGGTTCACGGACTGGACACTGAGGAGGAGCAACACCCCGGCGTATCGGAATCGGCCTGGGCCAATTTTGCAGCTCACTTTTCGAACATCAAGCTGGTGTTGACACTTGTCTACGCCTACGAGGCCATTGAAACGCTGCAGCACCGCGTCCTCCGCCGGAACATGCCGGTGACCCACGTGCGGCTGCTCTTCTGTGAACTGATGAACGCCGAAGCCCTCGACTGGATGTCGGTGCATAACCGCGAGACGCTCCGCAGCATCCACTACGTGGACTCGTCGTACAAGCATTCCAGTCGCATGAACTACGGCCGCCACGGCTTCCTGCGCCAGGACCCATTCGTAATGATGGCCTGGCGCTGTAAGCAGTTGGAGGAGATCGTGGTGCACGGCTACGTGATGGATCCGCATAACTTGGTGGGCATTGCCCGGCTTAGGGGTCGCCAGCTGAAACTCCTGGAGGTTTCATTGATCGAATGGGCCTCCCCAGCTTCGCTGAACGCCCTTAATGAGGTGAGTAGTGGTATATCTTTCTGTTACGTTACTTTACTCTTTTTTTTTTGTGGTGCATTTCAGGAAATCAGCACCTTGTTGGGACAGGCGTGGTCACCCACCCCCGACAAGCTGCCCCCATCGCTGGCCTTTGACTACGGAATGCGCGACCAGTTCGTGTACGAAATGCTTCGCCAAGACCTCAGCCAGTAAGTGAAAGTCGAATTAGGAACTAACTCAAAAATAACCAAAAACTGAAGAAAGTCAAGTCATCGGTGAAGAGATATACATAAGTGCAAACATGACACGTGATCCACTCGGGCGCATGCAAACTAATTTAAAAAATTGAATGTTTTAATTCTACGTAGCTAAACAAGAACCCGTCAGAGAAATGTAACCAAAAAACAAAAATTCAGCCGTTAAACTAAGTTATCAAAATTTATGTAAAGCAAACACTCATTGGCAAGCGTTTCATAGAAGCTACCTAATTTCCTAATTTTTTAATCTTTGTAATCAAAATCATACCAACCTTTGTTTGTTTGGCCAAGCGAGCAAATGGTGAAAAGAATGTTTAGGAGCAAAGCAAAAGACTTGAGCACTTGACAAATTTATGTAATTATGTGTAAAGGGGGGCGAAATGAGTTTGTTGAAACCTGCTAGAGAAACATCATTTTAAGAGCAACAACAACTGTGATTCAAACGAAAGGCGAGTGCGAAGTGTAGCCAGTGGGAGACTTGTGACAACCAACTCTCATAAACATAGCAAAGAAACAAAAACAAAAACAAAACCTAAAAACGACAACAACAAAAAATTGTTAAGCGAATTGTCTAGTTAGCTAAGTTAAAAAGTAACAAAACGAAACAAAACAAAAGAAAAAGCGTTGAAGAATGTTTGTAAAACCAAAAGTACGACCAATGTCAAATTGTTTGCTCAAAACTCAATTGGCACAAATTGTTAACCTTTGTAGTAGTGTGAATAAGTACGGAACCGGAAACGGAAATCGGCGCCCAATGTGATAAACAACAAAACAACCAGATAAGCAAATGTACCAACAACGAGAGCTCGATCCTCGTTCGCTAAGCGCCGCATTTGTGTAGTTTAAAGTGATATTAAGAACAGCATCAGCAAAGCAAATTGTAAACAAATACAACACCCACAATTAGCCAAACTCTATGTAAGACTAAAAGGATGTAAGATACATCAATACTCCTTGCCTTAGGATCGTGAAAAAGTCGCAGGACAAAAGAGAGAGATTGCACTCAAAAGATGCATCATGGTTTATACATTTTTTACATTTTATTTTTTGTTAAAACTCTAGGCGAATTAAGCTGCGACTTTTTCACGGTTTCAAAGTAAAAGTCGCGTGGGCTGTACATGCGTTGGCCAGAAAATGACAGCTTCCGGTCAAAATGGCAGGCAAAATGCAAACCCCAAAAACCAACTTTTAAGTATTTTATAGCACAGGCATTAATTTATACAACTATGTACTATATTTAACCTATGTTTGCACAAACAGCAGCGTGTTGTCACGAGTGCTGCTCATCCTCCAGAGTTGCTTACCAAACAACAAGTACAACCAAATCGATAACAACAACAATGGTACCTGAAGATCATGCTGAGCATTTAGAGAACAACAGCAACCACAAAGTACTTGCTCAAATGTAACAATCTAAACAAGCAAAACAAAAATCTATTGAAACAGAAGACTGACTGAGAGTGCTGGCTATGTTGTCAGAGCAGCTGGAGGAGTTGGAGCTGGAGCACTGGGTTCTGGGTTAATAGATCTCAAAGACAACTCCTACAACTATCCAATCGACCATCTATATTTGTATGTATGTATATGTAACCGATGCATGTAATAATTTTTGTTATGAACTGCAATAGCGAATATTAATTTTAAAATCGACTGCAATCATGTGAAAAGCGAAGCAATCGAAGAATGTCAAGCAGCAAACAGCAACTGTAACACGGCCACGATTGGGATTAAGGGGAATAGTGTGTCGGGGGACCCGTCAGATATTCAATATCCTTGCATTAGGACACATGTTTTCCCGTGGCCGTGAACCTAATTTAAGTCTAGTACGTACCATCAAGCAACACCAACAAAAAATGTGATAAAAGTGTCATGCCGCTTCCAAGAACAAGATCGAGTGCAGATTCTATCCAAAGCAGCACATTGTTGAAGCAAAGAGAACGGTAGTAAGCATTGGAAAAACAGGGCCTAAAACCCGGGATGTGGAATTATAGCCAAGGCTTTATTTCGCAGATATAGGCTGCCAAATATATTGACCCGAAGAATAATCAAAAATGTTAATTACTTTATTTAATTTTAAGATTGGAAAAACCCCTTTTTTTTTACTCAACCTGTAACTGTGAAATAAAGCACTCGGAAATCAGTTAGATCAATGCCCCAATGTCCAGCCTTCGTCAGTCTGAGGAGGGCCCTAATCAATGGATTCATTCAATTACAATCAATATAAAAATGAAAAAGTATTAATTTTTCTGTTACACTAGAGTCACTTCCAACGCTGCTGTATATGAGTAACGTTCTTTTTGTAAACTTACTACAAGAAGTATATATATTTTATACGCCATTTATTGTATTTAAATTCGAAGAGACAGAAAACAATTTTGTAAACCATTCCACACATGCTAACGTATGTACTGAACCAGAAAACCAGAAGCACTACGGAAATTGTGACAACAACAGAGTTTAAGATAAGTGATGAGCCCGAAAAAAACACCATCGAATGTAAGCGCAGCTCGATGTCGAAAATTGAAAAAGTATATATTATTTATGTATTCGGAAGGAATTGTGGAACAACACGATTGACCCGAGCCAAGAGGGGAAGGCTACAGGCGACAAGATACAGCCGTGCATTAACAACAATGTTTATATATGTATATGCAAGTTATGCTTAAAAGTTATAAGAGCAAAAGTGAAGAAAGCTGTGATACAACAAAATCCAACAAAAGGCAAACAACAACACACTAAGATAACACCAACACATTGACAACAACAACAAGTGTAACTGACAAGCCAATTCGAAACATGTGCGACCAACAAAAGAACGTTAACAACAACTTTTCCAAAGCAACAAAATAGTAAACAAAGGACGAGCAGAACGGACGAACGGAACGGCCTTGGGGAGTGTGGCCAGATTATAGAGAATTGTATAAGATCGAGACAGATCCAGTAGTAGTTAGCTTAGCAGGGTTAGAGGCGGAAAGGAACCAAAGTTCTGAGGCAGTGTTTGAGTGAAACAAGAGCACGCGGGATAATCCGATCGAGAATTAAAATCAAATGTTAACTTATACCGATATGTAGTAGAAAGCATTAAGCAAGTGCACATAGCAAGTATTGATCGAAAGCAGAGATTTTATTTCCACTTGTTTTGCCATGTCTATGATTTGTGCAAGGTTTTAAAGCTTCAATTATATAACAAACAAAAATCAAGCCAACTGCAGTTTGTGTGGCATATGCAATATCATTACCATTTAAGACAACAAAGAATTGTAAACCAATTAAAAGTAGCACACTGAATGCATTCAATTGAGAAACCAATAAAAGCGTTTGAACTTTAAAGTCCTACCCAGTCCTTTGGTGGGGGTGCTGACTTTTTCGTAGCATACTTCGTGGGTGGTGTTATGCAATCGCTCTCGAGGGAGGCGATTAAAAGTACATAATTTAAAATAATAACAACAACGGAAGCCCTGTGTGCCCCTGTCGTCAACCAAAACAAAGCGCCAACGAAGGAAGGACCTGCCCTGAGCAACGCAAGCGCTCCAGGATGTTGCGAGCTTTTCTCAGTCCTTGAACTTTTGACCTTGTTTCTGCCCGGCTACAGCGGTTATGTAAGCAGCTGCACGTTATGCAACCCAACCAAGGATGCTGGACTCGTGCCAGTGCCCGTGCCCGTATCTATGCATTTTTTCCCACCGCTCCAGTGGCTCTCAAACTGGATAGTACGTGATAAGTTGATATCGCCCGGAGACCAATTAAGTTGGCTTTGCGGGACAGATAGCGCTGTTGAATGAATGACTGGACGCTTATCTGGACATGTTTGTCTTTGGCAGACGAAATGCGAAAGCGGACCTTTTTCTGGGAAAAGAGATTGTTTTAAGGGTATGTCATAAAATTCTTCATAAACCTATGTATAGCCCAGTAAGTATCAAAATTAAATTCTATTTTACTGTATCGATTAGACGGGTCGTTCTGGCCATTTTTAGCTCGATTATCGACACATTGCTACCGCATAGCGTAAGCGAGTGAGTAACGAACCAAAAACCAACCTTCCAATCGCAAATAAATAAATATCCAAAGTTAAGTTGTGCCCACCAGGGGGTGGAGGCGGCTATCCGGGGGACACACATCTCGTGAGAAAAGCTTCGCAAGTGCAGCTAGGAAACATTGGCGTCGGCGCTCTCCGGCGCTCTCGGGTCTGCTTTTTCCCGTAGACGCGACGCTTTTGCCCGCCAGTTGAGCAGTCGATTTTCGCACGGAGCACGGCAGTCGAAAAAATTTGAAAGAAGCATTCAACAGCAGCGGCCCGCCGACTGAGAGAAAATTAATATTTTTACTTGACCAAACCAAATAAAAAATAGCTTAATTAATAAACTGGCGATATACTCTGCTAGCTGTGAAGACGTCTTTTGACACGAAAACCAAGTCCGAAAAACACACGAAAGAGAACCCTACGAAACCACTCTAAACTTGTCACCCTTTCTCGGCCATTTTATAATCCAATACTAAAGGTGAGTGCACGCCGAAGAGGTTGAGGTTGTTTATGGTGGGAGACATGCATATGAGAACTTTCTCAAACCCATCCATTCCCATCCACCCACCCACTCATCCAAGCAGTGTGACGTAACTTTGTGTGTGTGTTCGCAGATTGCTCATACGCCGCGTGTGCAAAAAGAAAACAAATCAAGAAGTGACCGCAAATCCGAAGGATAAACAAAGCTCCAAAGCGGAGGGTTTTATTAAGCATTGAAAAAAAAACCCATAATTGATCGATGGCGATTGTAATGGTCTATAATTAGAACCCTTTCCTTGCGTCCACTGGGCGCCATCCGGTGCAGAGCTCCCCATTTCGGCTTCCACCCAATAGGACTGCCGATGGCTGGCTGATTGCCCAAAAGTCGCGACGTTCACGTGCATTTTTTTCTTGCATTTTGCTGCGGCGGCTCTTGAGCTCTTCTCCGCCGCGTTGTTTATAAATAAACCTTGAATAATGCCGGCACTTTCCGCTGACGCTTCCCGAAGCTAAATCTTTCTTCAATATGTTCTTTTCGCGACTTCAATTGAGCTACTGAGACTCTCTCTGGATATGACTTCACGCGATCGAACTCGAAGACCAGATACGTCATTTGTTGCGCTTTTCGAGGCCAGTGACTCAGTCAGCCAGTGTCAGTCCAACAAGTGCATGTGCATGGAGGTGCGGAGTGTGCGTGTGTGTGTGAAAATTGCCATTTAGATGCATTAGCGAATAATTCCCGCATTACCGCTTACATATTCATTAAACGATTTTTTCGATGTTCTCCTATTTTCAGCTAAAACAAAATGTTCGCTTTGTGGTATTTAACATTCGCTGTCGATGAAATACGGTAAGTTCTAGGGAGAAGACAAATGGAATTTTTTTGTATGCGTAAATAGCTAAATTTTCTATCAAAACATTATATTTGCTATTGATAAAAACATGAAAGTTCTCGATTTATCAATTTTTTCCTCAAAGTTAGGCATTAGACCCACAGTGCGCAAGGAGGGTTTTTTTGTAGCCTACTTTCAGGCACTGCCATAGTTGCTTATGTAAAATGTATGTAGATATCGGCTTAGTGGGCGTCTGCAGGACGTTTTTAAGTATATTCCGTACCAAGC